TATATATATATATATATATATATATATATATATATATATATATATATATATATATATATAGTCTGGGTAACCAACAACTCAACAACTCTTCAATCGGTCAGTATACAGTATATACAAAAAAATACGGCCTAGCTTACCCAAAATGCCCAATTGTCCATTTAAGAACTGCTTCCAACTCATGTCCAATGGCGAGGATGGTAATTAGCAGGGAAATCACAGATACGATTATCAGTATAACCACTGACTGGATAAAAAACCCTAAATAATAAAGACATGCCTTGGCCAAATCATGCTTGTTTCAAGATATTTTCGTATGAATAAATCATCAATCAGTAGGCATTGTTAGAAAGAAGGTGCTGTTTGCAGACTTAAATATGACTTTCACCTTTGGGCCATGGTGTACTTTTTTCAGACACATCATGTCTTCCTAAAGGTAAGATGTGTACATACGAACACCTTTTTCCACACAGGAAATATTCCTGAATAAAACCGATTCTCTATAGGTGAGATAATAAAACAGATTAATTCAGTTCCCTGATTACGCCAGTAAGTGCAAATATGATGTTAAAGTATACCGGTAGGTGGATCAGTCTACGTACCCCAAAGCAAGTAGGCCACCTGATAGCCCGCATAATTAATGAAGTTCATCTGAAATGCAATACAGATCCTGCTATACATATCTAATTTCAACTCTATATAAAAATTTGACAAAAATTCATTGCGTTTCAAATGGTATGGTTAATATTCATTGAATCACGATCAAGTATAATGCAGTGGCCGCTTAAAGATCATTATATGAGATTTCGCTAATTTCTGACTTTCAAACTATTGTCTAAAGACAATAAACATGCTAATGTTTCAATTATTTCATAAAGATAATATAATATACCATTGTAGTACTTGCAGAAATGTTGGCATTATAACAACGAGTTTCGCCTTCAATGATATAACAACATAAAAAAGTGTTTTAAAGGAAAGGGCTTTAACGCACCATCCAAAATATATTCCCTGACTGCGTCATAGGAGGCACGCGCGTATGTATTCCCTTCTGGAGATCAAGGTGATCTTTCCTTTATAGAATAAATAGGTAGTCATAAAATTAAAGTGATATAGACAAAGGCCATGCATCATTTGCTTTTCGCGAAAAAATTGTAAACTTGTAAATGGAGATCTGAGTGGCCGCTCCATTTTTATTTGAGTGAATTGGTTTACTTAGATGTTGTGCCAAAGGCAACTATAACATCTGTCAAATGTATGTCTATAAGAAGAATTTGACTCGACAAATAAACAGTAGTATATTTTCGTCTGCTTTGCCTTTCTTTACCTCAAATGTTGGAATGGACGTTTGAAATAGTAACCATGGACGTTGACCTACCTGTATTGGTCCAGCATGAAGGCAATAGACAGCAAGTTGTACAGGAAAGCAATGCCAATTGAGACGATGAAACATACTGGAAATAATTGGCCTCAACCAATTTTATTAGGAATTCATGATACATAAAAACGCAGACAGTAAGTCACTACTAGTAACTGACGAAGAACACTTTAAATTAAGCTTCAAACTGTACAGGCAATATCATTTTACACCATGTGATTTGTTCCGCCATTACTGAAACAAACTCCAGAAGAATATACGAATGTACAAATAAGCACCGAGAAAAAACTCAGGAGTGATTTTATTTATTTCTTATGTAATAATAATAATAATAATAATAATAATACTAATACTAATAATAATGATGATGATGATGATGATGATTAAAGACACGCCCTGCAACGCGTGTGAACACCTTCAAAACTATATCTTCAAGAGTCGTAATCACTGTGGCATTCAATTAAGCATATTTGTGGAAGCATGTTTACCTCGGAATACTTTGTACAAAATTAGTTCACCACTGTCAAACTGCCCTTTGTTTCTTTGTACTGCATTATAGACGAGGCCGTCAATAATAGGAAGAAAAACGCCATATATTAACACGGCTACCTATAAAAATAAAGAAAAAAAGTTTAAATATCGTAAACTATCGTAAAATTCAGCGTACCAGTGTACCTTGAAAATCTTACTCCCCTAAAAGGTGACCCCCAAATCAGATTTGTTTTTGTGAAAATCTAACTCCCCATTCAAAATGTCTTAATTTCGTTATTTCAAAATGAAATTTTGACTCCCCCTTCAAAACTTCATAAAACTTATTTTATTAAAGTACATGGCTCTTATCTTGCAGTATGCATAATGGAGGATATGGCATTTTTTCTAAGTTTGCAGGTGAAATATTTCATGAGAAGATAAGAAATTTAAAAGTGTGTATTTTACCACCCAATGACTTCCCTATGAAAAGGCTATTTATTTGACATTAGGTAATCAGTCAACATCTTTCTTTTTAGTGTATACTTTATGAAGAATGAAAGTTTGATGTTAAAATGTGGGTTGAAAAAAATGGCAAAAAAGGAAAAATCTTCATTTTCATACCCATGGGATTTGAACTCCCATGAAGAAAAGGCCCTATTTTATATTTAGTCACCACACTATTATTTTCCACATATGTAGTTTGCATTGTGACATAAAATTTGTTTGTATTTCAAAGATTGGTGGTAAAAATTTTGGAAAAAACTGATCATTTTTAAAAACAAGTCAAGATTTCACGGGGGGAGTCAGATTTTCATTATAAAAATTTTACTCCGGGAGTATTTTTATGATACATGTACACCGGTACAGCACCTAGGTAACTTTTTTCACTGAGGTACAAATATTTCAGAACAGCTTAATTAAAAATTAATTAAAAAGTGAGATGTCTTGCCAGCGACAGTAACGATAGCTTAAAATTTAGTTAATTTTTGTATTTTTGTATTTTTTTATTTGTATTTTTGTGTCAGTACAGATGAATCTGTTAATTACTTTTTCAGCGATTTAAGTTGATAAACTACGTAAGTTAAGTTCAACTCGACAAACAATTATTCCACTCACTTACTCTTAATAAAATCAAGGAGTTATAACTCCTTGATAAAATATAAAATAAATGTTAAATGGACCTTTAAATTGAGAATCAGTAACAACCTCCAAATTAGAATGTATCTCCACTTTGATGTGCAGTTTTGAATATTTAGTGGAAGGTCATTTTAATGCATTTAACGTTATCAAGACATAAGCTTTGTATATTATTATGTGCCATTGTAGATGTATTGCGTTTTTTTAAATAATTCCATTAGTTATACTTACTGCATATATCACAATAACAGCCACTGTAAATGTGGTCACTATCCTCGTTGAATACACGTAACCTGTCAACAGAATAAAAAACACAAAGCTTACGCATTTACAAAACCATGGGTATGGTAAATTATATCTTCACACACTCGCATTGAATCTCCTCCTCCTCCGCCTTTCTCTCTTTCTCTCTCTCTCTCTCTCTCTCTCTCTCTCTTTCAATGACTCACCTTCTACTCTTTGGTAAACTAGTTTCGCCCACAAACTCTTTAATCTGCATCTTAATTTCTGCAACTTGTCGGTCGCAACTGGAGATTCAGGGCAAACTCTGACAGTAAAGTATACTTTAATTAATCCATTACATCTGTTTGTCTTGGTGAAACTCTTAAAGCCTTTAGTCGTTGCATAGCTACGCATAGCATGAAAGGGGATTGGGACATGCCTACTAAACATACATGTAGATCATTGTTAGAACGTTACCAAAGCGTTATTAAGTTACATGTGCTTAAAACGCTGTGTTTGCTACTACTCTGTAACCAATTTGATTAGACTAATAGTTATAATGGCGGTTTATACGTAATGAATGTGGCTAACTCCTGAAGAGGCAAGTGTCTAGTGTACCTTACATTTGCCACATGTACAGGCATGACCACGCTTTGTATGTCTTTTTCCGCGCTCGTGAAATAACTGGATATGGTAGTTAAATCAATATTAAAAGTCGACGACGTGGTCAAGGCATAAATACATGTAGGCCTACTTACATTAGTGCGTGTATCACTTACTGCTTTTTGTTTTTATTGAAAAGTTTGCACACGTGCTTCGCCTCATAATTATGCTTCAGAAAAAATTCGCCATTCTGAAACAAATAAATAAATTTGACAGTTGTACTCAGAAATGTCTTTTCACATAAACAACATCCAACTTTTAGTCCTAATTTTTTTAAAATAAACTGGAGAACATTTTTCAGTTAGGGATGAAATAATGAGTGGCTCTAAATTTTACAATCCTCGTCTAAAGCAAAAATATAGTATATCAATATTAAAAGTGGCGACACATACTAGTAAGCACACCCCTCTACCCCCCCCCCCCCCCCCCCCCCAAAAAAAAACAAAAAAAAAAAAAAAACGTCTATTTCCTTGAAATTAAGTATTAATTATTAAATTAAGTAATAGATAATGCAGGATGTTTACGTTTTACACTCACCTCTAGTAATGATGTTTTACTCCGCCTGTATCGTATTAATCTGTATGTCTGGACGGGGAAGTTGATCAGAAGGAAGAGCACGCATGCATACGATGGGATATACATACCCATTAGAACGGCCAGACCTTGCTGAAATGGCGATGAAACGTCAGCTGAACAACAATGAAACATAACAGCGGCAAGTTGCGGTAAACAAGCATATAGAAATGTCGCATTATTTGAAGTTCTAACTGGTTCATGTAGTAAACGGCGTACATTTAGAGCGTATTTCCAGAGATTTAGATCGATCCAACAAGAGCCACCTAACTCCCTGGGGGTTTACGCTATATAGCTGTCAGCCGAGCGCACACATTAGATAATTACCCACTTACAGCTTTTAGTAGGCGGAACAGACATTTAAGCCGGCTAAGCTGACAGTAATCGAGTGAGACTCCCCACCGGGATAGATCGATCTAAAATCTGTGGGAATGGGGTCTAAGACAATCAACTTTTTTGAGGTCATGCTCATTCTAATAGCACGTTTGTCAATTGAAATAAAAACTAATACGCATGCTCAATATTTATTATCATTTAGGGTTGGAACCATCAATGACTCATGAATTCAGAATCTCGGATCTTATTTAATTCTACATGTAAGTGTACTCAAATGAAATTTTCAAAAGGATAACTAGTTTTCAGATATGAAACGATTCGAATGCCTTTAGTAAATATCATTGTTCTTGCACAGAGTATGTCTCTACCTGACTTAATGCACAGTCCACTGTTTCTGCCACTTGAACCCCAAATATCAGACAGAGATGGAGCCACCCTATAGTGTAGCTCAGAATGGAGTTCACTGTCACCGCTGCAAGCACAGGGTAGTACAACAAACCGTAGAGTAGAACTAGTAAGATAGTCTTCAGTTCTAACAGAATATCAAAAAGAAATATTGTTTATTTTTCTAAAAAGAAAAAAAAACAAATACCCTTCGTTAATTATCAGTATCGTTATTATACCCCACTCAATGACATCAAATCATTTTACTGTGCGATGATGTGCAGAGGTAGTTTCTATTTAGAGCATTTTACTCCTCCTCATCCATCTAGTCACTTTTACCTTCACATGAGGTCCTCCTTTCTTCGTCTACTTTTCCAGCTCCTTTCTTTCTCCCCCACAAACCTCTACCATCGCCATCTCCCTTTTCTTCTTCCTCCCCTACCACCCAGCCTTATTAATTTTTTGTCGCCTTCCAAATATGCAAACCCCCAAAAATTGACTAGTATCCCCTAAGACAAGCTAAACATGCGCTGTACAGTGCTGTTTTAAGGGGATAAGGATAATGTTGATATATTATCATATTATTATATATAAATATATGTTATCACTCAAACTGTTTCCATGTTAAAACATTCATTTTTATTCATAATATCGACCCAAGCTTGGACATAAGAACGGATTTTGCACATGACTCACGTAAAGTTGGTGAAATTACTTAGAATGGTATCACTTACGTATTATGTACGATGGCTCCGGCACTGAATTTGTATTTCCTCCAGTCAAAATCATATTTAATACCGCGATGGTCAGCACCCCGTATGCCGCAGTGTACGCCCAGCGGTTCTTGGGTGATTCGAGATAATTCATTGGACTGAAAAAAAGACACAATTAGGAATTTTTTTCAGTAGTTCAGTTTTCTTGATTTTGAAGTATTCTGACTGCAATGTCTATGGAAAATGAGCTTTCGGTATTCCTGGGACTAAGAAGTTCGTAAAAAATGACTGACAAGTTCGCAAAGGCAAATATAATTATTATTCGTCTTGTTATAGTGGGTGTGTCTTTTTACAAAAATTACATTTTGCGCAGCTGCTCGTGCAAACCTCTGCTTACGTTATTAAACCTGGTCTCCCTTGAAATAGCCCTGTGCATAAATTGGTCCTCTTCGTTGTGAAACTAAAGATAATCAGAATTACTGCCTGCAATGACAAAAAAAAAATAAATTAATAAATTAATAACCCTCTTATTTGTAAAACCAAAGATAATTAGAACTACAGTACTTCCTGCAATGATAAAAAGCCTTTTAAACAATTCAGAAAATCAGACAGGAAACTTATCGTTGGAAGTCGACGATAGACAAGTATTGCAGATCTCGCTAACATATAAACAATGCCATTTCTGCGGTTCCTAGTGCCCCAAAATATTTTTTTCGGAGGCTACAAAGCGGGTTTTCTACTCTAAATGGTTATCATCTTTAAGAAATCCCTACTTAGTCACTATCTCATTTTAGTCAACTGGAGTCTTATTTTTGACAGAGATTGTCTTCCATTTTTGTCAATGTTTGGCGAATCAACATCTTATAGGCTACTGAAACTTGGATGGATTTTGTCTACTTACACTGCAAATCAGCAAATACATTTGGAATGTGATGTAAAATTCTGCCGTCTCTGCGGGACAGCCATAGATACTGAAACAGAGAGAAAACAAGGGGAGCAAGCATTGCAACTGGTGTCAGACACAAACAATTAAGGCAAAAGGTCGGTTTGATTCACCATACACTTTTTTCCGCTTCAAATGCGTGTGCAAGTCTGTAACCACGATTTGGGTGTAATATTTAGACTAACAGAAATATAATCTAATGCGCCGACTATCAAAACTGATACCAGTACCGGTAGGCTTGTTTGAACAGCCTCACTTGTCCCTGTTATACATACAGACAACGAATAATGATAATATTTTCATACAAACAACAAGCATGAGTAAAGTGAAACTAAAAGTAACAGCTGTTCAAAAGCAAAGCCAATCAAAAAGATCTTTTTAATGCGTTGTGAAATCGTCATTACGTCAACAGGTCAGTTTCTAACCGCGACAAAACAAAATGTAAAACAAAATGTTTCAATGTCAGAAGTCCTATTCTTACGTTCCATTGCTGGTATTATCTGCCATGATTTGATTCGATCAAGTAACTGCTGTTGATCTGATGTAACATCTAAAAGAAAAGAGAGAAAAGTCAGCCATATGGTAAAATGTATTGAAAGAAAATCGGACGCACAGTAAAAGTAAAACAAAATACGGTTTGGCAGTTATGGGGCGAACGTCACTTACAGTACGGATACTTTTCTCTGCCCAGCATTCACGCTCCGCTCGCAATAGCAGCTTATACCCCCCCTCTCTCTTTCCTGACAGTGAACGAAGGTCAACTGGTCCGTGTCAAGACTACAACCCCCTCAACTGCATTGTCCTTACTCTGGTGAACTTACAACATAGCTGGTATTTGTTGCTCATTATTTTTCTAGAGCGGGGACAGATAAGAGAAGCTGGATTGACTCAGTTTGTTTGTAGAGTATACTTAGTAAAGTACCGGTAGGCCTTGGACATAATTCGCTATGTCCAAGGATAGGCCCACTTCAAATAATGTGTTTCTTGATGTCGGTTATACTCGTAAAGTTGTACCCAGTATTAGACTTTGAAACTACACGTGAAGACCTGTACATTCCTTGTATTAAATACAAAATTCAAATCATAAAACACTAGCACACCTACCGTGATGAAGTCCTAAAGGATATGAAACAATGCTCATACATGTACCTTTACCCGTACTTACATGATAACACCACTTACATTTTGTGAACCTTATCACACGCTGAACTCATCATGGGATCAAGATAACACATTTCAAATTTTAATCAGAGCTACATAAGAACAAATGCATAAGCACGTGATCGGACACCAATGGCCTTTTTCCCCAGGCCTGGTTTAACAGATCTGTATTGGCAAACAAGATAACTGAAGAGTCCTCGTGTCGTCGTACACGAAAAGGCACGCGCTTATCTCCTCAACGTGGGAAAAGTTTTGGTAACAGGTGAAAATGTAGTAAATATACATAAATGAATCGAAGGGATCGTTTAAAGGTTCAATTCAGTCTTTATTTCCTCTTTAAAGACGAAAGCTTTTAGCGGACCTTGTATGGAAGAACTTGGGCCTACATAATTCCTCTTTTCCTGTGCAACATTTAGCCGTGAACATTCTTTTGCAATAACTCTGAGATTGGTGCTTAAAATAGAAAAGTGAATGAACACACACACCGACCGAAAATAATAATAATAATAATAATAAAATAACATTACTATCTCTTTCAAATCTTTCTCAGATTACCTCCTATACTTAAATGAATGATACATTTAGATATAAATACATGTGCAACTGTCATGTTCAGGACGCAATAGTCGTGTACCGCTATAGGAAAAAAGCTTGCTTAGAGTCTAATTTGTCTTGGGACAACACAAAATTATTCTCCCAATACTTTTTTTAACAAACGATAGGGGTTTAATAACAACTGTTGTTTTTATTAATTAATTAATTAATTAATTAATTAATTAATTTATGTAATTAACCAGAGCAGAAAGTCTAATATTTTTACTATATATACTAGTGTATATATATATAATGTGCAAATACACAGATAAACATAACTAATCAAATTTGCTTATCCCTCAATTATTGTTAAAAATGCATCATAGTTATAAACCTTGCTAATCATAAATCTGTCATGGTAAAAATCCAACTCATTGCTCTGTATATAGTTACCATTTACTAACATACCAGTACAAGTTTTGTATAACAGTGGGAAATGTTTATACTTTTAAGAATAACTTAGTTATAAATTTCAAACAGCTGATAGGTTCTAATTTTTAATATTTCTATAATTTCAAGATACAAATAACTTTCGAACATATTTTAAGTCTTTAATGTCCTCTTTTCCTTGTATTGCTAACTACTGTTTTGGGAAAGATCATCACTGTCATTTGGATAAACTAATAAAGTATTGTTCTATTCATACTTTTAAATGAATAAGAACTTGGTAAGGGAATATTATTTAGGAAGAGTTCTCATACTATGGTTTAGTTACATATCTATCTTCAGTAAATTAGTCCAGTGGGTGTCCATAAAATCTCCCATTATGAAAGCAAATTAGTTTGTGTCAAAATTATATAATTAATCTATTAAGTTAAAAAATCACAAAGAAATTCTTTCATAAATCTTATATTTCCAAATTCAAACTCTTAAGATAGTGAAAGATTAGTATTGGCTTAAGGAACCAGACTTAATTGGTTTGACTCAACTTAGAGCTTGGCTTGGCTTGCATTTCTAGATAACATAGTAGGCCTACTGTATCAGTACCAGTATTATGTAAGGAAAAATTCTAGAATATAATAATCAGGGGCAGATCAAGGATTATTTGAAGGGGGGGCATCTGAGACCCCCTTCCCATTGGCATGTCACCAAAAATTTGGTATTTCAGAGGAGAAATGGTGCCATTTGGTATGGTTTAGAACTTTGATCCAGCTAGACAAAATTCCAATTTCAAGAGGGGACCATTAGTGTAATTTTTTTCAGAAATCGAAGGGGGGGGGGCAGAACCCCGCTAAACATCACCCCTCCCCCGAAAATCTGCCACTGATAATGAACTTGGCTTGCACTACACCCATATGTACAGTACGTACTATAGTTAGTGCACCGAGAGGCTGCTGTGAGTCCAACTTTGACAGCTGGGAACGATGCAAAATTTCTCTCCCAAAGCTCTTTTTTAAAAAGTATATAAATAATTCACATCAATAAATGCTCAGAATAAAAAGTAATTATATAAAAAAAAACTAATTAGACGAATGGTTTACTTAAGTAAGTGACCAAACACCTTAATAAAAAGATAAATAACTGAAAAAATATACAAATGAATAATAGATGCATGAAAAAACAAAAGAACAAACAATTAGGTAGAAAAAACGATAAAGAAATGAAACTGATATGCCTACCTATGCAGTAAACGTAGTATTAATAAAAATGCTGTGTAGCTAAATACGTGTCCCATGGTCCAATTGATCAATTATGAATGGATAAAGATTATTGAACAAGATAAACAATTAATAACCATAAAAAATTAATGACTTAATCAATATATGATAAAATAAACAACTCAATTTTCAGTTGCGTTGTGCGTCTCTGTCGCAATGAAGCAAAAGCACAAAACCATCGATTGTTCAAAGTGCTTCACAAAAAAGAAAAAAAAATGCGTTGACGGAGAAGAACTTGAGCTTTATCGATGCATAGTTCTTTACCCTTTTTCTACTGTGACCTTCACCGCTAGAGCTAGGCGCATGCGTAGGTCGAATCATCAAAAATGGCGGACGACCAAACTGGCGGAGTGCATGATTTTTTCGTAGAACTTTTTACCAGTCCACTTAATTGTGTTCTGTTAGGCATTTGTGGGTTCCTGTTATACAAAATAATATCGAACAGACGAAAAGATGCAGTGCCACCGGCACCTCCCCCGTTGCCAAGGATGAAAAAAAGAGATTTTACTCTAGAGCAACTGCGAGAATTTGACGGCAAGGGTAGAGACGGCAGATTGTTGGTAGCGGTTAACGGGAAAGTGTTTGATGTTACGAGAGGGAAGCGATTTTATGGTCCAGGTGAGATATGGTCTCTACAGGATGTCAACATGGTTATATTTCGATGCAGTAACTGGCCAGGGTAGACCCAGGCTCGATAGCGCAGTAGTAGAGAAAAACGATATCTGGTTTGGAGTACTAAGTAGATTGTAAAGAGTTAACTGTTTCTGTAGTCTGTACATTTTAAACGAAAGAGATTTGGAAATATTTCGCTGCAGCCATTCATTCCAAATGACTGGCAGTACCTCCTGAAATTTTTGTGATGAGTTGTAATTATAGCTGATAAGAGTCAGACGGTTTTATTTGAAGTTTGCCATTATTTTAAATTGGAGAAAGCCCAGTATCTTAGATTTTTAAAAGCCAAACAAAGTTATATGGCAAGTACACGTGTGCACTATTTTTCATTCTATTTAGCATAACATACTGTATTAAGATATTACCTTTAGCATATAAGAAGTTATTAATGCACAAATTAGAAATGAGAACTTTTACTGTTGTAAAAGCTTTCAGAAATGTGTCTTTGGTGAGTATTTACTTGTATGTATATTTACCAGCCAGACAGTAGACGTCAGATCACAGTCTCTGTGATAAACTTGTCATTTCACTGGCCATGCAGATCAGCACTTTCCTGAAATCTGTCATCCAGATCAGGTTTCACTAGTCCGAATAAAAATTACAATTAAATTCAATTGAACATTTTCCCCTATTGCATTGATATTAGTTATAACAATACCTTGATTTTGTCATCATGTTTCAGTACTTAATGGTTCATAAAAATTATTGAACTGAAAACTCTTTTGAATATCAAATGGCATGGCGGACCACTAAATTCACACATTCCGAAAAATTCCCTGGTCCAAACAAAGGTTTGCTGGCTGCAGGCATAGGACTAATGGCCGTAGACTGGACCAGCTGTTTATAAGATCAGCATTCATATTGTCTTGTCTTGTCTTGTAGGGAAATGTAGGCCTTAGTGTTTGATAAAAGAAAGGTGATGAGTTGGTTTGAAGGAGTTGGGTATTTGAATGCATCCATCTCCAGTCAAGCAGAACTAATATTCTGACAGGGACAAGTGTTGCATTTGCATCCCTCAGAAATATTGATAAAGTGGTGTTCTGGCACAGATAGCACCTTGGCCTGGTGTTCTGGTACTTCAACAGGTGTTTATTTACATAAAGTGGCCTTTGGTTTGTAGGTGGGTCTTAATATTTACTCTGAGAAGATTCTAATACATGAATCAAGGTTAATATTTTATATATATTTATATATAAGCTTAATATTTTTATATATATGAACTGTAAGGGATTTTACATATATATTACCAGGTTGGCCTACTTTGTCCAGGCCTTAACATGACCAGCTTGCAGCAAAACCTTGATCTGACCTAAGGTGCTGTTTGCATTCAAGAAACTGTACCAGCTTAGCCAGTCTGGTCTAAGTTTCTCTACATTTCTTACATTAGTGTCAGACATGTTATTCCTGGTTTAATAATGATGTCATTGTTTACAAGCATTTACATTTGGTATAAAATTGTGATCCATTATAAATTTGTATATGCATGCATATTTTTGATCTATAAACTAGGAGTGTAACCTACTGGCTTTTGTTTGACCTATACCTTTTAACGTCTTTCTGCCCTCTCAGTGAAATTAATTGAGTACCTTTCTTATGAATCTTCTTTTATGATGTGTCATATATGCTAAGATGGGGATATTTATGGACTAGAATTTAAGTCAACATTAGACATGTCATACAATACAAGCAGGACTTTTTCCAGGATTGGGGGTACTGGTCATCCAAAATTATCACCTATAATTTCCTACAAAATTTCGTGGAGTCCAACAAGCCATAAATTTTTCAAAATAATTCATAAGCTGCCCAGCTGTCTTTAAAAATAATGGCAGCCAGCCATCTTCAAAAATATTGTCTGTCTGATGATGCTGGTGGCCCTCCAAATAATGGCTGGACGGTCCACTGTGAAAAGCCTTGAATACATAACATATCTAGACTTGGTATTTGAAATTTTAATGTTTTTTTTATGAACTAACACAGATGTGTCTGTACATATAGCCATCACCTGCATCTGTTGTCATCATCATTGTGCACTTTCAGTGATAACACGAGAAGTGGAAAACCATTTTTACCTTTTGTTTTCAAACTTATGGAACTGATGAATATTCATAAAATATAGGTTGAGTTTGATAATCAGCCTGATTGGACTTTTTTTTCAAAAGTTATGCTATTTTTTTTCACTTTTTTCAGCATACTGTATATGCAATACTGATAACACATTTTAAGAAATAACAATCGGCCTATTTATTGTCTTTTTTTGTCTTTGAAACAAGGGATATTCAAAGTAATTGTATATAAATATCTTTTCAATAGATAAAACTCCCAAGCACTGTACAAACAAAGTAATTGTATATAAATATCTTTTCAATAGATAAAACTCCCAAGCACTGTACAAGTGCAGTACGATATTAGATAGGCGGACAGTGTTCTATAAATTGACTTGTCTCACACAGCATGTATTTGTTTAACCAAGGATTGGGGACCAGCCTGGGTTATGTGGTTCAAATAAAGGTCAGGTAAAAAAACTGATAGGTGGAAATCTAGATATCGTGAACAGATCACTTGACACAGTGCTTTACTTGAAGTAATTTAATAACTAGTGCTCCATTTGAGAAGGGAAAAGATGTTCTTTGTGTCATGGTGTCAGTTTACTATTAGGCCCAATTTCCATAGACACATGGGTCTATGCAGATCTATCCAACTCTGTAGGGATTCTCACTGAGTGCAATCAGCTTAACAGATTAACATGCCTCTTCCTTGTGTTAAGTAGAATACAGAAAAGTGGGTGATTATACCAGTATGTTGGAAAGAAGAGGAGGCATGTCGGACAATTAAGTCGATTTCACTAAGCAAGAATCCCTGCAGTGTTGGTCATTCCACGTAGACTGATTGTTTTGTTTATCAGGCCTTCCCAACTACCAGACTCGGCACCTACGGGTCCAAAATAAACCGGTATATCTGACCACACTACCCGTTTTCAAGGTGTGTGTCAGATCGCATAAAAGAGTATCATACCCTATCACAAATTCTGTAAGCCTACCTGTCATCCGGGTATCGCGCCTCGTTTTCGTCAAGTAGGAGTCGTATGAATACAACAGACGACTCCCTCAATCAGGGGGTGGAAACGCGCGACTTATATGATTAAGACGAGCCTACCGGTTATTGTTTTGTGACCTTGAGGAGCAATTTAGGTTTGGTCGTTGCGGCACGCATGAACAGTAGTTGAACTACCACACCTGGGTCTTTTGTTTTTGACAACTGTTCACTCGTCATCGAGGCGCTTGTTCAAGACTACAGGCTGATATCCTAGTACTACCACAATACTTAAGTTTTCTGTCCGTGCGTACAAACCCTGAAAAAGGACAGCCTCGCTGACGAGAACAATGGACGTTTCTCACCCCTCTCTAGGATTACCCCTGCCCTCAATCTCGTCCATCCCGGTAGTCATGAAAATATTTAACCCCCGACAGAATATGCTTCCGCTATCAAAATTAGGTCTACTTTTCTAAATTAATATTTAAGTTTGCAAGTTCTTATTTACAAAACATCATTGGCTATGTCCGAACCTAAATTTTATGTTAAAAATTGCGGTACTGTCAGATTTTAGCATTAACAGAGAAAATTGCAGCAGCGCATGAATCTAGAAGAGATGCACTACTTTCCAACCCCGCTTAGGATCATTGCTATCACATCGCGCACCAGGCAAAATCGGTGTGGTGGCTGATACTCTGTAATGCGATCTGACACACACCTTGAAAACGGGTAGTGTGGTCTGATAAACCGGTTTATACTGGACCCGTAGGTGTCGAGTCTGGTAGTTGGGAAGGCCTGTTTATGGGAATGGAGGTCTTAGGTTCTGAATTGGGGGTGGGGTATATCTGCCTGTTACTTCCATCATCATGAATTTCTGTTGTATTTTATAAAAGCTTAAAGTAGTAGACTAGTTCAATATTCATTTCTGTGGTACTTAGTAAACTTGTGAGTGCAACAAGCTGCTTCACTGTCATTCACACAAGGTACAATGAAGATAATGTTATAAAGAAAAGTAAAAAAATGATGAATGAGGACAGATTTTGGACACCTTATAAAGCAAGTTATATCATGAGTAGGATTGAGGGAGATAGACAGAGATACTGGTATCTTCATTATTGATATGTCTTACAGAATGAGGTAATCTGTAATGGGGTGAGTTTGTTAACCAGTGCCAAGTATAGCTAAGCACCATGTAATGTTTAGATGGAATTAATCAATGGACCCATTCAGAATAGGGGCACTAACTAGTCTGAGGGTTAAATATGGCTGACCCACTTGAATACTTTTCTATGGGATACTAGTATCTGTTCATTGTCTATTAGTGTCCATAGAATAAATATGGTGTGGTAGGTCATCTGTTGATTTTTATTATTTGGAGTTCTCTGCAGGACTTGCTATTTATAAAAGGATGTGGTTAGTTCACATGTTTTAGGAATGTTCTTGTTTTTATTATTTGGAGTTTTCTGTATTCTTAATTGCCTATTTTAAGCCCCTGTGGTTATTTCACACATTTTAAGAATTTTTTTCTGACATATTGGCATCAGTGAGGCTTGATTACCTCAGTGAGCATATGCATGCTATTCACATTAAAGGGATAATAACTCTTCGTATGAGATCTATATTTCACAATAAAAACATTGTAACTCATAGAAATATAATATATTCCCTTTTACCACAAAAACGGCAGTTATAGCTATTATTCTGATGTCTGAGCTTGTCTTTAGACCACATGACCTCCATTGATGGCTATACTCTGTTAAAATCTCTTAAGATTTTAACCAAACTTTTTAGAAAAAAACAGGGACTAACTTTGAATGTAAAAATGGATTCATTAACCATTGGTAAGTATGGGAAAATTGTTGTTTACTCCAGGAAAATTCATTTTTTGGCCAAAATGAAGAGTTATTATCCCTTTAATATTGGACATCACAATTTAAAATAATGTTTACATATGTAATTGTTGACATAAGTAACTGGGAATGCATGTGTTGAATTTGAATGAATTTATTTTTTAGTCAAGCTATGTCTAGAAATACACACACTTCTGGTTCAAATCAGAAAGTTTTTTTAATTGTTGAGGGGGTAAAGTAACATTTTTTTTTCTTTCTTTTTTTAGATGGTCCATATGGGTTGTTTGCTGGACGTGATGCGTCCCGTGGCCTGGCCACCTTTTCCCTAGATACAGAAAATGCCATACGTGACGAGTATGATGACTTGAGTGACCTGAACTCCATGCAGATGGACAGTATTAGGGAGTGGGAGATGCAGTTCACAGGTAAACTGGCTGATGGAGAAGTCTTAATGGAATTCTTATTATCAAAAATATACCACTGACTTAATAAGTGGAAGATAAGAACTTTCTCAGCATCTTTTATTTATTTGTTATTATATTAGTATTGTTATTTTTATTGAAAAGAAAATAAGGTAAAAGATTAATGAAAAAATATCGAAAAATATGACAAATAGCGACTGTTACATCAAAATGTAGCCAAGTATAGTAAACCCAATAATGGTTGAAATCCGTGTCACATAGTTACTGTAATGAGTACAACTTAGGATCATGTGGCATAATTGTCAGTTAGGAAGATTTTGCAATGTCAGTTTTAGCATAGTGCTGTAGTGCCAAATGTACAGTGATCACTCAAATGTGGCACATCTGATACAATGTTATTGATAGGTAATATAATATAACACTATAGATATAGTGTAATATGAATATGGAACTTTGGTCTTTTTTCGTTGTTTGATATCCATATTGCATTGAAAGCTGGATATTGGATGTCATCTTTAAAACCTCAAGTCTAATGATATATGCAATGATATATCATATGGACTGTACATATTTTATTCAAGCACCTCTAAATTTTATCCTTTTCAGAAAAATACGACTATGTTGGTCGGTTGCTAAAACCCGGTGAGACTCCACGTGAATATTCTGACACAGAGGATGAAACTGACAAATCCAAGGATGCATAGACTGAGCACAGCCCCTTCATGATGTATATTATATATGAACTGTGTTCAGCAAGTGTCATCAAAATTGTGTATTCTGAAGAGCCTGTTGGCCTAGCTGGTAGCGGTCATCATGTGTAGATCCCTGTTGACAGTAAAAAGAAAGTATTTTGGTTTTATATTTGTTTTCACTTCACAGCTAAATTAATGTGTCACAAAGACAAACAACTGCTTTTAAAATTGTCAGACAGTCCACCGCTTAGGTACATTGCCTGTTAGGTGGCCTGTGTGCAGATGTTATCCAAAATTCCATTTGTTTTGGTAAAAGCAGGCATAAAGCTATGTTAGCATAGTATTTTTTTTTCAGGCATATAAAAAATCAGTTCTTATTTAAACCAAAGTAAATTTAACTTTTTCAAAAATGTTTCAAAGCTTAAATTAAGGATTCTTGTACATTTCAGTGAAACATTGTGGGGGAAAAAGTCACCAAGTTTATTTTATGCAACAAACATTTTCTAGTGTGTGTGATGACCAATGCTCTTTTCTGTTATAAGAACCACATAGGTGCACAAGTCACCTTTAGCTGGCTATCAGTTAAGAGCTACCCAGCTAGGCTTTTTAAGAGGGGATCAGAGGTCAGTGAACAGTTGGGATTAATGAGCTTTATTATCCATTCAGAGCAGTGATATTGCTTGCATTTGCTTTAAAGGTGGTGCCTGGCGACACACTTAGCATTTTCGTCTCTAAGGCAGTTTGTCATAAATCTGGATATGAAATAATCAAATGTTTTGTATTCTTATTTAAGCCACATAAATATATTTTGGCAACAATATTGGAATTAAATTTTGGGTGCTAGCTTGGGATCAGGTGTACATACCATGGCAAGCTTTATGGACTAAGACCAAACGTGATTTCTTTTCTTGTGGCATATCTCGTTTTTTACTCTTGTTTAGGCTTGCAAAAGAAACTGATCATCCCTGAAATATCACGTTTTCATTGGCAGCCAAAAGCTTTAGAAAATTTCCATTTAATTCAGTACAGAAACATTATGTCAATATAATTAATGTATAGCCTTAAAATGTAATCTGATATGTTTAGATTCTTCCAATTAGTTAAAAAAAGGTGCTTTATTTAAACGAGCATCAAATGCTGAGAGGTATTCATGAAAGAAACTTTTCTTTTCTTGAAATCCGATATTGTTACAGTAGTAAATAGAAAATGAAAGCTAATTATTGATATTGCATTTAATGATGTTAAAAACCCTGATTTGAAAAAATCTTAGCTGACATGAATAAGACTTGCATAAGGAAAAGGAACCCCTTTCCATTTTTTTTCTGCACTCGCTAAAATTCAGGTATTGATATCAAGGTGAGATAAAAGCAAATAACATATTTTAAAAACTAGTTTTAAACAAACATTGGCCTTAAACGTTAATGCAATGGAAGAGTATGTAATTGATGTTATTTATTTGCATCTTTTTAAACGATCTAACAATTTTTCAAACATGCACTGCATTAATCCAAATACCTGCAAAAATGTGTTTTTCATGTATGTTGCACAAATTTATGTTTTCTGGAATAACAATAGCAGACCATCTTGTATATAAAATTAATATAAACTTTTTAGTTTGGAATGTGTAGCATTTCATCAGTGCATGTGTATGTATTTTGTATACCAGTGATTAAAGTTGTTAGTATTCTTCTGACAATCCTGCTCCCAAGAATTTTGGGTGAAATATGCTGTCTTGTTAAACTTGGCATACATTCAACCAATAGTGAAATGTCCAATTATTGAAAGCAACCTTTGAAAAACAAAATTAATAATGTATTAGTATAAATAAAGGTTATTTTTTATGATGAATCCTCAGTGTATTCTTTGTTCTTGGTGTTTTAATTTTAATTAAATTTTATTAAAATGAAGTTTTTAAAAAGATGGCAAGCGTGAATATGAAAAGTTGTATAATATCTTTGCAGACCATCTTAGTGATAGACAGAAGAGAAGAGGGATCAAATTTGCTTATTATATGAAATGGTCTTTTAAATGGGTAGACGGTGCTTACATGTGTTAGGAATGCAGCACACACTTTTCCTGCATAGAATGAAACTGAATAAATTTCAATTAAGGTTAACAGGTCCAGATACTTCATTATCTATTCCATAGGCACGAGGGATGAGAGGATCATTGGCAATATTTTTGCAAGTCTTCTACTTTCAATCTTTTAATCATTTAAAAATCTAAGAAATACTTTGATAAATTTGTTTATGCTCTTATTAATAAGTTTAAAAAAATGTGCACCAAATTCCCTCAAGCATGCTAATAACAGATATTCTCAATGCAATAGAAACGCTAAATGAACGACTTATGTCTAAGGATAAATCTCAAACATCTGCATGTGATCAATTTATACCCAAGTTTCTCCATTTAATTTGTGTAACTACTATACCATGGTCTGAACAGGTAGAGATATTTACATATTCATTTACATAATAAAGAAAAATGTCGAAGAAAAAACGGAATGCAAGTCACTTTTGTTCACAATACAAATGGTTAACTATATTCAATACAGTGATAGTGAAAAATGACTGATGAAAATGCACCTTATTTTATACACATTTAAAATACAAACAAAAAATAATATCTTCATTTACAATTAAAGGTTCTTTCAAATACTTTCTCTATGGCAAATTTCCCTTTATCTGTCAAAGCACGAGTGCCGATTCCTGCGAAATCGTGTGTGAGTTCTGGCACACCTGGATAAAATTTGAACATTCTTCTAACAAAATCATACTTAAACCATTGACAAGACCCTTCTTCCATCCCAGTTCTCTCATTTTTAAAACAGTCAAACACATAGACAGATTTATTATTGTCCACTGCCATTTGCACTGCCCATCCTGTTCCCCCATCCACCATCTTGTTCCGTATGATTTTTCCCACAGCAAAAACAGCATCTGAATTTTTCACCTGATACCAGTTTCGTTGAAGTAAACTGTCAACAAAAGTCTTGCCTGTGGGGAACTTTCTGTGCAGTAACTTGTTGGCCTTTAACAAATGCATGTTAGAATCTTTTAGTTCTTTTTTATTCAGAACTTTCCTGTAAGGATTGTTTGTAGCATGGCCTGGGAATGAGTACACAACTGTCTTGACATTATACCTGTCACTCATTTTCTGCCAATAGATGTCACTTCCGTTGGCCCCACCAGAATGGTTGGTATACGAAGCTGGTGCGGTTGATGTTTCCTGCTGAGTGAATACACTTGGACTCAATTCCAAACTGTCTGGAGATGACTCCCATTCTTCTGCAGCTCTAAGCAGTTCACTGTCTTCGACATATTCATCCCAAGAATCATATGACTCCCCTAAACTAGACATCTTCCTGTTTCTTGTTACCTGCAGTAATAATAAAAAAAATATATTAACACAGCCAGGTACAATGTACAACACAAAACTGTATTTAACAGATACTCGTAAGTGACCAAATGCTGTTGAACTTGGAAGTGAAGGGCAGGACAGGGGGAGCTGTCTAGAGAAAAATAGGCATAGAAAATCAACAACAAAGTCAATCAACTTAGTCTAATTAATAACATTTTTTTAACAATCAATCAATCAATCAAATTATTATAAACATTCAAAGGACAATCATTTAAAGACTGCCACATAATTGAAACAAGAGTTTCTATGTGGAGTTGTTTAAATAACTAAAACTTATTGATAATAATGGACATAGGTTACAAAAAGGTGCACAAACTGTGAAGAAATTCACCACGCTTGTTGATACATGCACTTAGCATGCACTTTTAATGCAAATGTGGGGGATATCTTGCTTTCACCAACAACTGAGATTTAGATCGCTTACTCATGTTTCATCATTTGTATTAAACTATTTACCTCTTTAGACCTAAAATCAAGAAATACACCAGTATCTGACCATTGTCTCCACTAAAATTTTTCGAATACTAGTACTTGTAAAGTGGTTTGTAATTTATTTGTAAACAGATTCATGCTTAGTTGTCAGCTTGATTGGCCAATGAATTCAAAAACCACACTGAAAGTAAAAAAAAAAAAAAAACAAGGCAGCAAAGCTGTCAAATGTACAGACAAAAAGCAGGAAATAACAAAAAAGGCTACTGTCAATTCGGATGCANGGAGTGTGATTGGAGAACGATCTTTTTCTCTTTTATGGATCGTATGATGTCGTTAGGATGGCATGAGTAACTTATAAAACCACTAAAATCTATCATGAGATCGCTAAATTCCGGGAGCAAGGTGTAAGTGCCAAGTCCACTTTTACCTCTTTGGATTTCGTTCAGGTAATACGACTGCAACAATTTTAAACCAAGGATCACACAATCGATAGGGGCTTCTTTCCACCCTTGTAAATCATGTAGCAGCCAGTTAAATCCTTCAGACTGGTTTGTTGTTATTCCCTGATCGGTGATATATGCCCCAAACTTCCCGGAAATTGACCAGATCCCAAAATGCTCCCTTTTGGTGTGGATATTATCGACAAAATACTTCATTATATTGGGTGGCCATTCTTGTTCGCAATTTTGTAGAATGATGGAATAATTGTCTTCAGTCTGGGAGCGCAAAAGAGAATACAGGTCGTTTATGATTGTGTTCCTATTATTAACTGGAACCCCGTCGGCTATCATTTTGCGCTGGAATTCTTCCCGTAAATGTCTCCAGCATCCGGCGATGGCTAAAGCAGTTTTTGACTTGATAGCGCCTACGATCCCTTGCTCCATATCCACAACTATTGGTAGTCCAGCTGTTCTTTTCACAAGACTAGTGAAGGTGGTAAAAAATAGTTCATGAACTGTCTGATATTTTCGTTCATGAAAAAGGAACAACGCTGGAATTGTGGGGTTCTCTTTAAACAAAGAACACCGGAACAACAAAGGACTGACATAAAATTCTCCTAAACAGAATGTCGTGTCATAAGAAAGGAGAATTCCTCCTCTGTTCCATGCCATTGTCTCCGTCAAAAGGTCCATAATTTCGCGCATCCCACATACAACTACTAAATCTGGATAAGTTGTTATATGCCAAATGAATCCTTTTTCTTCAAAGGCCATTTCGTGTAAGTTCATGATGGCATCACGGGATAATCTTTCTTCTGCGGCTTTCGTTGCTTTAATATTTGCTATTTGTTTTACATTTCTTGGTCTATCTATGGCTTCATGATGTATAGGGTTCTTTGGCTGTTCTGTTATTAGTTCTTTATAAATTTTATGAGGAACTTGATCCATTGTTTCAGTGGCAATCCTTTTCATTACCGAGGGTTTCGTGCGGAAGAAGAGCTTCGTCTGTTTTAAGCTGTTACCGTGTTTACCAGGTGCAGACAGTTTGTCATCGCCGATGTAATGGATGACTGCAATATTTTCATTGTTTATTGGAATGTAGACATCCTTCCTGAAATCTGTGATGGCTTTTCCATCTGCACCCTTTGCATAAAAGTATGATTTTTTGTATAATGGTTGTTTCCTAGGTAATTTTTTAGAACTGCCGTTTGTCCACCTATGGCCGTCTGCCCTCCAGTCTTCTTTTTCCGCCTCCGAATTGGCTTTGAAAACAAATATTTGTCCTCCTTTTGGGCGAAACGGAATGACGTCCACTTTCTCAGTGTGATTAAATAGTCGACACACTTCATCTGTTGTTAGCGGGGCGTTTTTTTCAGATATTGTATCAACCATTCTCTGCGCCATCGCGCATCTCTAAGTGTTGCCGCTGCTAGTGCTATTGTAGCGTTATGGTGATAGCGATTATGACGTAGACTCCACAGTTTGCAAATAGGAAAACAAACAACAAATATCTCTAATTTTTATTGAAAAGAGAAAATAAACATAAAAAACAAAAGTGAATTATGGTGGGGTGAGATAGAAAACACAGTTTTCATCCTTCTATCCAGTTTCTATCCTCTAACTATTTTTAGTAATTTTGCCATTTTATTCACTCTCAAACGTCTATGACTTATACAATGGTAGGGTTTAATTTGCTACGATAAAAGATTAATCACCATTGAAATAAAAACTAATGTAATTTCAGGAATTTATTGATATAAAACACTGAGCTGACGCATATTTATAATTTTGATATTTTTATTTTGTAAAAATATTTTCTTGTTTACTTGTAATTGATAATTTATTAATAGTCTAAGTTATCTGTGACGTCACAATTTTCTTTGGTTGTTATTGGAGCGTTTGTTTTCTTAGGCCGTTCCGCACTGTTGGTTCCGCAAGCCAGCAGTCACAACAATTAAACGTTCCGTCTTTTATGCTGTTCCGTTCCTGCGTCGTGTGTTCCATAGTAACAATGTTCCGCATTTTAGTCTGTTCCGCTGTTCCGTTGTTCCGCTGTTCCGTGTTTTAGGTACGGCCTGGTGATTATTTACTTGTATGTATATTTACCAGCCAGACAGTAGACGTCAGATCACAGTCTCTGTGATAAACTTGTCATTTCACTGGCCATGCAGATCAGCACTTTCCTGAAATCTTCTGTCATCCAGATCAGGTTTCACTAGTCCGAATAAAAATTACAATTAAATTCAATTGAACATTTTCCCCTATTGCATTGATATTAGTAATAACAATACCTTGATTTTGTCATCATGTTTCAGTACTTAATGGTTCATAAAAATTATTGAACTGAAAACTCTTTTGAATATCAAATGGCATGGCGGACCACTAAATTCACACATTCCGAAAAATTCCCTGGTCCAAACAAAGGTTTGCTGGCTGCAGGCATAGGACTAATGGCCGTAGACTGGACCAGCTGTTTGTAAGATCAGCATTCATATTGTCTTGTCTTGTCTTGTAGGGAAAATGTAGGCCTTAGTGTTTGATAAAAGAAAGGTGATGAGTTGGTCTGTGAAGGAGTTGGGTATTTGAATGCATCCATCTCCAGTCAAGCAGAACTAATATTCTGACAGAGACAAGTGTTGCATTTGCATCCCTCAGAAATCTTGATAAAGTGGTGTTCTGCCACAGAAAGCACCTCGGCCTGGTGTTCTGGTACTTACACAGGTGTTTATTTACATAAAGTGGCCTTTGGTTTGTAGGTGGGTCTTAATATTTACTCTGAGAAGATTATAATACATGAATCAAGGTTAATATTTTATATATATTTATATATACGCTTAATATTTTTATATATATGAACTGTAAGGGATTTTCCATATATATTACCAGGTTGGCCTACTTTGTCCAGGCCTTAACATGACCAGCTTGCAGCAAAACCTTGATCTGACCTAAGGTGCTGTTTGCATTCAAGAAACTGTACCAGCTTGGCCAGTCTGGTCTAAGTTTCTCTACATTTCTTACATAAGTGTCAAACATGGTATTCCTTGTTTAATAATGATGTCATTGTTTACAAGCATTTACATTTGGTATAAAATTGTGATCCATTATAAATTTGTATATGCATGCATATTTTTGATCTATACACTACGAGTGTAACCTACTGGCTTTTGTTTGACCTATATGGTATACCTTTTAACGTCTTTCTGCCCTCTCGGTGAAATTAATTGAGTACCTTTCTTATGAATCTTCTTTTATGATGTGTCATATATGCTACGATGGGGATGTTTATAGACTAGAATTTAAGTCAACATTAGTCATGTCATACAATACAAGAAGGACTTTTTCTAGGATTGGGGGTACTGGTCATCCAAAATTATCACCTATAATTTCCTACAAAATTTCATGGAGTCCAACAAGCCATAAATTTTTCAAAATAATTCATAAGCTGTCCAGCTGTCTTTAAAAATAATGGCAGCCAGCCATCTTCAAAAATATTGTCTGTCTGATGATGCTGGTGGCCCTCCAAATAATGGCTGGACAGTCCACTGTGAAAAGCCTTGAATACATAACATATCTAGACTTGGTATTTGAAATTTTAATGTTTTTTTTATGAACTAACACAGATGTGTCTGTACATATAGCCATCACCTGCATCTGTTGTCATCATCATTGTGCACTTTCAGTGATAACACGATAAGTGGAAAACCATTTTTACCTTTTGTTTTCAAACTTATGGAACTGATGAATATTCATAAAATATAGGTTGAGTTTGATAATCAGCCTGATTGGACTTTTTTTTCAAAAGTTATGCTATTTTTTTTTTCACTTTTTTCAGCATATATGCAATACTGATAACACATTTTAAGAAATAACAATCGGCCTATTTATTGTCTTTTTTTGTCTTTGAAACAAGGGATATTCAAAGTAATTGTATATAAATATCTTTTCAATAGATAAAACTCCCAAGCACTGTACAAGTGCAGTACGATATTAGATAGGCGGACAGTGTTCTATAAATTGACTTGTCTCACACAGCATGTATTTGTTTAACCAAGGATTGGGGACCAGCCTGGGTTATGTGGTTCAAATAAAGGTCAGGTAAAAAAACTGATAGGTGGAAATCTAGATATCATGAACAGATCACTTGACACAGTGCTTTACTTGAAGTAACTTAATAACTAGTGCTCCATTTGAGAAGGGAAAAGATGTTCTTTGTGTCATGGTGTCAGTTTACTATTAGGCCCAGTTTCCATAGACACATGGGTCTATGCAGATCTATCCAACTCTGTAGGGATTCTCACTGAGTACAATCAGCTTAACAGATTAACATGCCTCTTCCTAAGTAGAATACAGAAAAGTGGGTGATTATACCAGTATGTTGGAAAGAAGAAGCATTTCAGACAATTAAGCTGATTGCCCTTAGCGAGAATCCCTGTAGTGTGGGTCATTCCACGAAGACTGATGGATTGTCTATGGGAATGGGGGTCTTCGATCCTGAATTGGGGGGGGGGGGCGTATATCTGCCTGTTACATCCATCATCATGAATATCTGTTGTGTAATACTAGCTTGAAGTAGTGGACTAGTTCAATATTGATTTCTGTGATACCTAGTAAACTTGTGAGTGCAACAAGCTGCTTCACTGCCATTCACACAAGGTTCAATGAAGATAATGTTATAAAGAAAAGTTAAATAATGATTAATGAGCACAGATTTTGGACACCTTATAAAGCAAGTTATATCATGAGTAGGACTGAGGGAGACAGACAGAGATACTGTTATCTTCATTATTGATATGTCTTACAGAATGAGGTAATCTGTGATGGGGTGAGTTTGTTAACCAGTGCCAAGCTAAGCACCATGTAATGCTTAGATGGAATTAATCAATGAACCCATTCAGAATAGGGGGACTAACTAGTCTGAGGGTCAAATATGGCTGACCCACTTGAATACTTTTCTACGGGATATCTATTCATTGTCTATTAGTGTCCATAGAATAAATATGGTGTGGTAGGTCATCTGTTGATTTTTATTATTTGGAGTTCTCTGCAGGATTTGCTATTTATAAAAGGATGTGGTTAGTTCACATGTTTTAGGAATGTTCTTGTTTTTATTATTTGGAGTTCTCTGTATTCCTAATTGCCTATTTTAAGCCCCTGTGGTTATTTCACATATTTTAGGAATTTTTTTCTGACATATTGGCATCAGTGAGGCTTGATTACCTTAGTGAGCATATGCATGCTATTCACATTAAAGGGATAATAACTCTTTGTATGAGATCTATATTTCACAATAAAAACATTGTAACTAACAGAAATATAATATATTCCATTTTACCACAAAAACGGCAGTTATAGCTATTATTCTGATGTCTGAGCTTGTCTTTAGACCACATGACCTCCATTGATAGCTATACTATGTTATAATCTCTTAAGAGATTTTAACAAAAAACCAAACTTTTTAGAAAAAAACAGGGACTAACTTTGAATGTAAAAATGGATTCATTAACCATTGGTAAGTATGGGAAAATTGTTGTTTACTCCAGGAAAATTCATTTTTTGGCCAAAACGAAGAGTTATTATCCCTTTAATATTGGACATCACAATTTAAAATAATGTTTACATATGTAATTGTTGACATAAGTAACTGGGAATGCATGTGTTGAATTTGAATGAATTTATTTTTTAGTCAAGCTATGTCTAGAAATACACATACTTCTGGTTCAAATCAGAAAGTTTTTTTAATTGTTGAGGGGGTAAAGTAACATGTTTTTTTTTCTTTCTTTTTTTAGATGGTCCATATGGGTTGTTTGCTGGACGTGATGCGTCCCGTGGCCTGGCCACCTTTTCCCTAGATACAGAAAATGCCATACGTGACGAGTATGATGACTTGAGTGACCTGAACTCCATGCAGATGGACAGTATTAGGGAGTGGGAGATGCAGTTCACAGGTAAACTGGCTGATGGAGAAGTCTTAATGGAATTCTTATTATCAAAAATATACTACTGACTTAATAAGTGGAAGATAAGAACTTTCTCAGCATCTTTTATTTATTTGTTATTATTATTAGTATTGTTATTTTTATTGAAAAGAAAATAAGGTAAAAGATTAATGAAAAAATATCGAAAAATATGACAAATAGCGACTGTTACATCAAAATGTAGCCAAGTAAACCCAATAATGGTTGAAATCCGTGTCACATAGTTACTGTAATGAGTACAACTTGGGATCATGTGGCATAATTCTCAGGAAGATTTTGCAATGTCAGTTTTAGCACAGTGCTGTAGTGCCAAATGTACAGTGATCACTCAAGTGTGGCACATCTAATACATTGTTATCGATAGGTAATATAATATAACACTATAGATATAGTGTAATATGAATATGGAACATTAGTCTTTTTTCGTTGTTTGATATCCATATTGCATTGAAAGCTGGATGTTGGATGTCATCTTTAAAACCTCAAGTATAATGATACATGCAATGATATATCTTATGGACTGTACAAATTCTATTAAAGCACCTTTAATTTTTATCCTTTTCAGAAAAATATGACTATGTTGGTCGGCTGCTAAAACCCGGTGAGACTCCACGTGAATATTCTGACACAGAGGATGAAACTGACAAATCCAAGGATGCATAAACTGAGCACAGCCCCTTCATAATGTATATTCTATATGAACTGTGTTCAGCAAGTGTCATCAAAATTGTGTATTCAGAAGAGTCTGTTGGCCTAGCTGGTAGCGGTCATCATGTGTAGATCCCTGTTGACAGTAAAAAGAAAGTATTTTGGTTTTATATTTGTTTTCACTTCACAGCTAAATTAATGTGTCACAAAGACAAAAAACTGCTTTTAAAATTGTCAGACAGTCCACCGATTAGGTTCATTGCCTGTTAGGTGGCCTGTGTGCAGATGTTATCCAAAATTCCATTTGTTTTGGTAAAAGCAGGCATAAAGCTATGTTAGCATAGTATTTTTTTTTTTCAGGCATAAAAAAAATAGGTTCTTATTTAAACCAAAGTAAATTTAACTTTTTCAAAAATGTTTCAAAGCTTAAATTAAGGATTCTTGTACATTTCAGTGAAACATTGTGGGGAAAAAGTCACCAAGTTTATTTTATGCAACAAACATTTTCTAGTGTGTGTGATGACCAATGCTCTTTTCTGTTATAAGAACCACATAGGTGCACAAGTCACCTTTAGCTGGCTATCAGTTAAGAGCTACCCAGCTAGGCTTTTTAAGAGGGGATCAGAGGTCAGTGAACAGTTGGGATTAATGAGCTTTATTATCCATTCAGAGCAGTGATATTGCTTGCATTTGCTTTAAAGGTGGTGCCTGGCGACACACTTAGCATTTTCGTCTCTAAGGCAGTTTGTCATAAATCTGGATATGAAATAATCAAATGTTTTGTTTTCTTATTTAAGCCACATAAATATATTTTTGGCAACAATATTGGAATTAAATTTTGGGTGCTAGCTTGGGATCAGGTGTACATACCATGGCAAGCTTTATGGACTAAGACCAAACGTGATTTCTTTTCTTGTGGCATATCTCGTTTTTTACTCTTGTTTAGGCTTGCATAAGAAACCAACTGATCATCCCTGAATTTGAAATATCACGTTTTCATTGGCAGCCAAAAGCTTTAGAAAATTTCCTTTTAATTCAGTACAGAAACATTATGTCAATATAATTAATGTATAGCCTTAAAATGTAATCTGATATGTTTAGATTCTTCCAATTAGTTAAAAAAAAGGTGCTTTATTTAAACGAGCATCAAATGCTGAGAGGTATTCATGAAAGAAACTTTTCTTTTCTTGGAATCCGATATTGTTACAGTAGTAAATAGAAAATGAAAGCTAATTATTGATATTGCATTTAATGATGTTAAAAACACTGATTTGAAAAAATCTTAGCTGACATGAATAAGACTTGCATAAAGAAAAGGAACCCCTTTCCATTTTTTTTCTGCACTTGCTAAAATTCAGGTATTGATATCAAGGTGAGATAAAAGCAAATAACATATTTTAAAAACTAGTTTTAAACAAACATTGGCCTAAACATTAATGCAATTAAAACGTTAATGCAATGGAAGAGTATGTAATTGATGTTATTTATTTGCATCTTTTTAAACGATCTAACAATTTTTCAAACATGCACTGCATTAATCCAAATACCTGCAAAAATGTGTTTTTCATTTATGTTGCACAAATTTATGGTTTCTGGAATAACAATAGCAGACCATCTTGTATATAAAATTAATATAAACTTTTTAGTTTGGAATGTGTAGCATTTCATGAGTGCATGTGTATGTATTTTGTATACCAGTGATTAAAATTGTTAGTATTCTTCTGACAATCCTGCTCCCAAGAATTTTGGGTGAAATATGCTGTCTTGTTAAACTGTTGGCATACATTCAACCAATAGTGAAATGTCCAATTATTGAAAGCAACCTTTGAAAAACAAAATTAATAATGTATTAGTATAAATAAAGGTTATTTTTTATGATGAAATCCTCAGTGTATTCTTTGTCTTTGGTGTATTAATTTTAATTAAATTTTATTAAAATGAAGTTTTTAAAAAGATGGCAAGCGTGAATATAATATGAAAAGTTGCATATCTTTGCAGATTTATTAATTATCTTTTATTAAATGGGTAGACGGTGCTAATACATGTGTTAGGAATGCAGCACATATTTTTCCTTCATAGAATGAAACTGAATAAATTTTAATTAAGGTTAACAGGTCCAGATACTTCATTATCTATATTATATTCCATAGGTATAAAGGACAAGAGGATCATTGGCAATGTTTTTTTTTTCAAGTCTTCTATTTTCAATCTTTTAATCATTTAAAAATCTAAAAAAATACTTAAATGATAAATTTGTTTAGGAATTTATTCATGCTCTTAATAATAAGTTTAAAAATAACTTCACTCAAGCATTCTGATAACCAATGTTCTGAATGCAATAGAAACGCCAAATGGGCAACTGATGCCTAAGGGTAAACATCACACATCTGAATGTAATCAATTTGCAACAAAGTTTCTGCATTCAATTTGTCTACCTTAACATAGTCTTGATAGAAATTCCTGAATCAACTTTGTACAAGAAATAAAATGTATAAGTAGAGATTTTTACATACTCATTTACATACAGAAAAATGTACATTGTCAAGTTAAAAAGGAATGTGAACCACTTTTGTTCACAATACAAATGCCTAACTATAATCAATACAGTGATAATGAAAAATGACTGATGAAAATGCGCCCTATTTTATACATATTCACAAGACAAGTTTACAAAAAAAAAATCTTTATTTACAATTAAAGGTTCTTTCAAATACTTCCTCTATGGCAAATTTCCCTTTATCTGTCAAAGCACGAGTACCAATTCCTGCAAAATCATGTGTAAGTTCTGGCACACCTGGATAAAATTTAAACATTCTTCTAACAAAATCATACTTAAACCATTGACATGACCCTTCTTCCATCCCAGTTCTCTCATTTTTAAAACAGTCAAACACATAGACAGATTTATTATTGTCCACTGCCATTTGCACTGCCCATCCTGTTCCCCCATCCACCATCTTGTTCCGTATGATTTTTCCCACAGCAAAAACAGCATCTGAATTTTTCACCTGATACCAGTTTCGTTGAAGTAAACTGTCAACAAAATTCTTGCCTGTGGGGAACTTTCTGTGCAGTACTTTGTTGGCCTTTGACAAATGCATGTTAGAATCTTTTAGTTCTTTTTTATTCAGAACTTTCCTGTAAGGATTGTTTGTAGCATGACCTGGGAATGAGTACACAACTGTCTTGACATTATACCTGTCACTCATTTTCTGCCAATAGATGTCACTTCCGTTGGCCCCACCAGAATGGTTGGTATACGAAGCTGGTGCGGTTGATGTTTCCTGTTGAGTGAATACACTTGGACTCAATTCCAAACTGTCTGGAGATGACTCCCATTCTTCTGCAGCTCTAAGCAGTTCACTGTCTTCGACATATTCATCCCAAGAATCATATGACTCCCCTAAACTAGACATCTTCCTGTTTCTTGTTACCTGCAGTAATAATAAAAAAAATATATTAACACAGCCAGGTACAATGTACAACACAAAACTGTATTTAACAGATACTCGTAAGTGACCAAATGCTGTTGAACTTGGAAGTGAAGGGCAGGACAGGGGGAGCTGTCTAGAGAAAAATAGGCATAGAAAATCAACAACAAAGTCAATCAACTTAGTCTAATTAATAACATTTTTTAACAATCAATCAATCAATCAAATTATTACAAACATTCAAAGGACAATCATTTAAAGACTGCCACATAATTGAAACAAGAGTTTCTATGTGGAGTTGTTTAAATAACTAAAACTTATTGATAATAATGGACATAGGTTACAAAAAGGTGCACAAACTGTGAAGAAATTCACCACGCTTGTTGATACATGCACTTAGCATGCACTTTTAATGCAAATGTGGGGGATATCTTGCTTTCACCAACAACTGAGATTTAGATCGCTTACTCATGTTTCATCATTTGTGTTAAACTATTTACCTCTTTAGACCTAAATCAAGAAATACACCAGTATCTGACCATTGTCTCCACTAAAATTTTTCGAATACTAGTACTTGTAAAGTGGTTTGTAATTTATTTGTAAACAGATTCATGCTTATAGTTGTCAGCTTGATTGGTCAATGAATTCAAAAACCACATTAAAAGTAAAAAAAAAAAAAGGTTCTGTTGGTTGTTTGTAGTAAAAGGTAAAATCCATCCATTTTTACTCAGAATAACATTTATTTTGCCTTTATTATAAGGGAATTCCCATTGTATTTATAGTGTTGTGTCTAGACCCAAAGGAATTTCCGTCCTCCCCTCCCCCACTCGTTTAACCCTTAATGAATATAATACTCCATATGGCAGACTGAAACTGATATTGCAAAGTGCATTTAAAATCGTAGAAAGTTTTATTGCACAATTTGCAGGTTATGCTGTAAAGATATATGCTAATGCCTGGGCAAAACTGGCAAATATACTAGTAAAATGTTTAACTTCTATTTCCATGTAGATCTGTTGGTCATATTGCAGTAATGAAATTTTAATATGTTATCTCAGTTAATTTTGCCCAACAAGTGGGTTTTCTAATATGAATTGGCAAAATTTAGTCTTGTTAAGTTTTCGAATGCATTTTGTAACAACATTAACACTAGTGCACAAGGATTTAAAGGATGCAAAATAAGAGAAAATTTTCAGTTTCAGCATCTTATGGCTGCTTCTCCCGTGAAAATGCACCGAATGACCTCAAACTCAGGAAGTCCTTAATATTATAAATTAGGTCTGTGTAGTTTTTGAAATAGGCATAAATATATATGTATTTTTTTATTGCAGAAATTTCCAATATTTAAAAAAATTTTGGGACATTTTGACCTTGAGTTAAAGGTCAAAGGCCATATCCAATGGTATTTTTGAAACCTCCACATATGACTTATGGTCAGCTGAGCCATCTTAAGAATTTCCCCAAAATTCCTTTGGGAGATATTTAGCATTTAATTTTGTTAATGTAGGTCAAGGGTGCATTATGACAAGGGCCACACCTTGACCCATGCACCGTCAAAGCCCACAATTTATGTGGATATATGTGAGTTGAGATTTTATGTGACCTAAATCCGAGAGATGGGTACACAGGCTCTTGTAGGCTAGGAGGAGAAGCAGTAAGTGACATGGCAGCAGAGACGAATGTGACAGATTGGGACTAAAACCATTGAGTACTGCCAGCGACTACACTGGTGGTACAATAAAGACAAAATAATTTATATGTTATTCTAAGGAAAGTCTGATTGCTTTTTGTCCTGTGCTGCCTCATTTGTTTATTTCAAAATGTGCGCTCTTGCACATGCGCAGAACTTCGGCACCTACGTGCAAGGGGAAGGGGGGGGGGGGGTGCTAGAATAGAACCGAGAAATCAGTTCATAAATTACAGAAATAACTTATCAGAATAGCCGAGACATTGATAAAAGTCATTACATAACTGATATTAGATTGATTTGAAAATCAAAGACTTACTAGTATCGTGTAAGGGAGAGTGCACCGTGATCCATGCGGCCCATACGACAAGACAGCCCTAGCGTAATGTCTGAAGAGCAGCTTGTCTCAAAGACTGTTACATATCCGTCAGACACACCCAGTTTCTTCACAGCACCGGTAAGTGACAAGAGGAAGTAACGAACGACAACGGATAAAATTACGACAGGGCGACAGAGGACTGGAACTACGTTACAGGTTTGCTCATTACCGTGGCGCGCAAATCCCGCACTAAATTTGGATGAATAGCCAATGAAAATAAGACTAAAACATACAACACCTTTCCGGAGTGGAAGAAAACGGAAAGCGAAAGTAGATCGCATGCCAACGGAATTCGCAAACTGCCATATCAAACTTTAAGGTGAGCTGAATATTTGACTGCGATAAAGCACAATATTTCTAGGATTTGTAGAACAGCATGAAATTTAGCATATTTTACGATTAAGATAACACAAATCCACCAATGAAGTCACTATATAATACTGTATATATCGAGTACTACTGGGTAGCTGTTACCTGTGCGAGATTTTCCCGCCATTACAACATTCCTTTGGACAAAAGAGCAATATTCTCTTAGTCAGGTATCATTAATCCATCCTTTTCTGCACTTAAATCGACGTTTTAATTCAGTTTTCATTTACTAATAATAATTATAGTTTTAAATGCCCTTCCTACTAATGATAAACGGTACCAACTGGAGGGCCTATACCTATGCCAGTAAATCTTATGGTCTTTAGCTATCAAACAGTGGGAGGGAGGATTCTTGTATTGAATTAGAGGTAAAATTCATTATTGGTACAGTGTGTGAAGACCAGCAGTCCACCATTTATTTTCTTGTTGCGAAAATATATGATATGAAAATCCCAGTGTCTACATGTACATGTTCCCATGTCTCAGTATGTGCAAAAATTGAGTGACCTAACTGCAAAAGATACACATACTCAAGCTGAAATTATTAGACTTAAATATTTTTAATAATATTATTGTTGTTATTATTGTCGTTTTAGTTGTTCTTGTTATTGAAGATGGCAACTGCTCTCCAAGAAGATGTACCAGTACGTGTTCAAGCACATGGTGTCATACTGAATTGTGACACAGTAAATGCTAAGCTTGCCAAGGGACTTCGGACATTAATACTTGAAAATGAGCAGCTTGAACTTATTGTTATGTCCCACATGGCCAAAAAGATGGAGGCAGCAAGGAACCTACTAGTTATGGCTGGCATTGACTCACGCCGGTGAGTATATGTATACTGGTACATGTCAATTGTAAAAGTTGTATGCAATTTAAGTTTGCCCTGTGAAAAGAAATCTGTTTGTTAAGTACATGTATGGGCCCTGTTTACTCTTGGACCAACACTATTTGTACCAGTACCAGTAGCATTTTCCTTAGACTGTTGTAGACATGAAATGTACTGCTGAGTAAATTATGCATTTTAAACAATTTCTTGCTTTTCTTGGAAATCTGAATATTACGAAAAAAGTCACATACTGTAATATGTACATATAGAGTCAGGTACCAGTACATGTGAGCAAGGGTAATACCAGTATGTGGATTATTGCTGAGAAATGGAGTAAAATAAAAGTAACCATCTGTGAAATCATTATTATCAATATACTTGTTCAGTGATGTTATGGTTATTGTGCCTTTTGTAGATTGTGACATGATTGTGAGGTTTTTTTTCAGTGTACTTCAAAAGTGCAGAGGAGATGATATGAGAGGTTACATACACTCAAATCAAGACTCCATGTTTATTGTTGTTGGTGTTGTTAATGAAGACATGCATTTGGCAGCCAATACAAAATCATTGTTGATTGGTTTGTATGCTTCTGTATATATTATCAAGCATTTTAAGCTTAATTTTTATAATCATTCATTTTAATGTGTAATGTAATGTTTATGTAATGCGTCTGAGCATATGGCCAGTACAGGCCTACATCTAGCTGTCACCACTGTTGTTGTTTCTGTTATTTTGGTATTGTTGGTATTGGCATTGTTTTGCACTTTCTGAGTTTTTTTTTTTTTTTGTGAATACAATAAATGGAAAACAGTGTTACTAATACTTATTATATTAAAACCTAAAGGGATGATATATATTACTAATTATAAGATACATCTTAGCTTTGAAAACAAACCTATTATTTCTCTCAAAATTCTGAAGTTTTTTTTTTAATACAGTTTTTTCATTTTTCACAAAAACGTATTTTCTCAGTGACTTAAAATTCCCATAATTTGAAGTCTTGTGATACAGGTTAAGTTACAGTAGTGAAAAATTGAAAATTGGTGGTGATTTTGCTGTTTCTTATTATCAAATGCTGCATCATAACTGACATAATATTTTGTGCATTTTCATAACTAAATCAACACTATACCATTTTGTGATCTATTATTGTAACTACTACTATCAGATTTGTATATTTTTTATTTATTTTTCTACCCATTTGAGAGATTCGCTGCAGTGTTTTTAAATAGATATCAATCTATATAGGAGAATAAATTTTAACCTTTAGACACATTTGTAATTTGTCTACTACTGTATGTATACTGAATTTTAGAATTAAGACTTTATTACTAACTGGATACCATTCCACATGAACACATGTAGGCTGTTGAATGTGCATATTTACTAGTACATGTAACTTGTGAGGTACATGACATATACTATCGGGGTACATATGCCCATACATGGGCACCAGACTTAAAAGTTGGTGGAGGTCAGAAGTGATTTCAGATAACAGTGCAATATGATGAAGGTTTTTAAAACCAAGAATCTACCATGCATTAGATTTGAAAAATGCATAAATGAATGTGTAGTATTTCAACTAGCAGGACTTTAAAGCAATTTTACAATATTTTGCTCATCACACACACACACACACACATACACACACACACACACACACCACTCATATATATATCTATATTGGTTATTTCTTTTGTTTATCTTAGTAATGGAAATCAGTTCTTAATGCATTTGTGGAATGTTTTTGTCTGTTCATACAATTATTATATGTTCTTTAAATTCTGCAGCTGCAAATTGGTGTCCACAAGTTGAAGAAAAGGTGACGACTTATGGTATACCAGCACGTTCACCAGATAATTTGGAAAATATCATCAGAATTGTACTTAATCAGCGGGACTGGTTTTATAGAGTTGGATATACTGACCACAAGGGTGTCCAGGTACATGTATGAATTTTCCCAGTGCTTTGAAAAAATGCCAAAGATAATTTGATTTATACATGTTATACTCTTTTCTGAAATCACCTCTGTTTTAGCAGAAATGTTTATAACGGTTCTGTGTTCTGGCTTGCTTTTCAACTTTTCCTATTTGTATAAATTTGTGTAATATACCAGTGCCCAATTGTCAACTGGCTGAGATAATGGCAATTTACTGATGCACTTTTGAATGACCTCCCATTGCCTGGCATATATTGCACCAGTATGAACAAAAATTTCCCCATTTGCAACTGTATGTTTTTGAGCCACTGAAGCCCTTTATGCATTGCAGTTACATGTACATGCATCTGTACTTGGTATTTATCCAATGATGACAGATTTACATGTACTTAACAGGCCCGTAGCCAGCAATTTCAAAAGGGGGGTTCTTTTTCTGAAAAAGTGGACCTTTTTCCATAAAAACTTCATGAATCTAGATCAAATTTTACCCAGAGTGGACCTTTTCCCACCAAAAGTGGTGGTTCTTTCGAACCCCCCGAACCCCCCCTGGCTACGGGCCTGCTTAAAGCATATACAGTATACAGTACAGTTTACTGGTATTTATATGCACTGTACTTTTATCTGTTATTAAAATAATAGTTGCCAGATCATGGTGTGTGTGGTTAACTTTGTAATTACTGAAGTTCCATATCATGCAACTGCACTACTGGGTACATGAATTACATTTTACTTTCTATATATAGGGTATATACATGTATTCTACTGCCCAGATAGCACACTGCTGGTGGGCCAACATTGGGTCATCCAGTAGTCAGTGCAATCTGTTGGGCCTATGTCATTTTGTCTGTGTTTCCATCATTGGCCCACTGGTGGCCTGCCACACTTGGCTATGAGTTACATGCTCCTACATGTACTATCAGTGCATGTACCAGTAAGTACTGGTACACAGTATTGTAACATGTCTAAACTACAATAAAATTTAAATATCATGGGATAGAAGAACATCATATTATTTTGACAACATCTGTTGCCATTGTATTGATGTCTATGCTGGTGGGCAAATGTTGGGCCCACAGACAAAATGATTTTGGTCCAACCATTGATCCCAACGTGTGCTATCTGGGTGGTATAGGCATCTTTACTATGTTTTGACTGTTTTCTCACAATATTGATGAATTTGACTGGTCCATCAAAGAAAAAGTTGAGAGAAAGAATGAATTTTGTTTTATTACAGGTTAAAATATATGGCCTGACATCAGCCAATACCTTTGCAAAATATTTGAAGACCAGAGAAGAAGGGCAAATTGCCCAGAAAATACAAAATGTATTGAAGGATGGGGATGACAATGAAGAAGTAAAACACAAGTTATTACTTCATCTACTAGCAGGTAATTCACATCAAGGAGATATCTATAGTAGCACTCACACATATACTTGACTTCCTCAATAATTTTTTACCCACAATGTGCTGTACCAAGGGAAACACAGCAGGAAAGCCTTTTCCTCTCTTGATACCCTTCCAAATCCTGAGCTATTAGCAATATCCTGAATCTGACAGTGATTTGATAAATTCTTTTACCAATACATAGAATTTATATACTTCTGAAGTACTCGTACATTGTACGGGTATGTTGTTTGTCTTAAAATAGATTAAGAAGATTTGAATGTTTTCTCTTCTTTTAGCTGTTTTTTATAGTATCTAAATAAAGGTATGCATTGTGCTTGGTCCAAGCATTTTACATGTGTTTACTTGTATTTGTTTTAAAATAATCAGTTACTAGTATTATAGACAAACTGTGATCATTGTTTAGATATGTCTCGCAATTCCAGCAATACAGCACACACCTGAGTTCAGAGAGGTCGAAGATTGGGCTATTGCACCTTCTTCTGGGACCTCAAGAAATGAAATCCTGTGGTGGCTGAAAGAGCATTTGAGGAAGTTGATGTATGGCAGAAAAGAAGAACAGATGTTTATCAGGTGGAGTGATGTTCCAAAAGCTAGGCATGCAGATGGGAGAAATAACACAGGGTTTATAAAGCGTGATTTCAAATCTATTAAGTTGTCCTCTGTTGGACGCTACACTGGAAAAGGGTCAAAGTCAAAGTTGAAGGGTAGAGTAGTGTGCATCATTGATGATTATACTACGTCTGGGAACATCTTTGAGGCTCTGAGGAATATGCTGTCAGCGTGTGGAGTAAAGAAAGTTATCTGTTTGGCAATTGGAAAGTTTAGGCATCCTAGGGAATCCAAATACAAGGTTCAGAATTATGATTTGTCAGGGTTTGATTTGTTTCAAGAAATGAAGGAAGAAGCTCAGATTAACCTTGTTGGAGAGGAAGAAGTAGATGTTATCTTTAATGAGGAAGCACAGTTTGAACTAGGTAGGCTTAATTCTCTGTGAGTAAAAGGAGACTATAATTACACCAGTGAAATCGAATTGTTTTACGAAATGTTGACAATCAAGCTAAACAGGGGTAGGGGAGTAAGGGTACATGTTTTATGATGTGTTTGAAAATCACCAATTATTTTTTAAAATGTTACTGTCTTGATTCAATGATAATTTAGAAAATGTTTACACATACATTAGTATGTGAAATGGTAAAGAGCAGATTTTGCTTATCATTTTGTATTGTGACTGTCTGTGCTTTATTGGCAATTTTATTATACACATTTTGGTGTTATGAATGAAAGTGTTAGACAAATATTAATTATCGTTGAGTACATATACTTGTACACTGGGAAAGATATAATCATTAATTATCGTTGAGTACATATACTTGTACACTGGGAAAGATATAATCATTAATAGTATTTGATATTTCATTAATTATACATAGCAGTATATATTATTATGAAATTTCTTACAGTTATATTAGATTGATATTTGTACTGTAGGTAATGCCTGAATGCTTTTGGTATACTGCATTTTTTTGTTGCAGTAGCTATACATTTTTTTTTACAATTTATATAAGGACATAATTTTATTGAAAATGTATTGCAATCCATGTGGTGGAAACTACAGTATAACAAAGTCATAATATATCATTTTTAATGACTGAGCTTGATTTTTATTTGATTTATATGAATGAACTAATTTTTAGATATACAAGAAGGCTGCTTTAGGTATTTTATACACTTTGTTCATTGTACAGTGCATAGGTCATTATGTACACTGTACGTCAATGTATACATGTAATTCTTTCTTCTAGGATTTTTAAAAAACATTTTAACTTGACCCGGTATTTTTTTATGAAAACTGTATTACAAGTGTTTAAGGTGCTCTATGTGCTGCATGCTTCTATATCTTTTACTTACTGTATTTGTAAGTGTTGCGTCAGCCATTTGTGATCGTGGTAATATAGTTGAAAATGGAATACTGCATGGTTTGTCACAAAATCGCGTTATGTGGGTCTCAGTCACCTACTGTACAGGTGCTATGGCGTACCAAGTCACGTACATGCACATGTTGTTGTCACGTGCCATTGCTAATTATATGTTATATACAAGTCATTGCTAATTATGTGTTAATTTTTGCTTTTTTTGTATTATATTATATTATATATGGGGTACGTGTAATCTGAAGATGAACAGATAGTATAGCAAGATGATTAATGTAGCATTGTATCATTTAGAGCTTAATAAACTATAATTATAACAACTTCAACTTGCTTAAACGTTTTGTAATGAATCGGCGAATAAAAAACGCGGGTTAAAGTTGTGCGGGCTCAGCCGACTGTTCGGATAGAGGTTTATTTACACACGACTCTGGATGACAAGTTTATTGCTGCCACAGATATTAATTCATGTAGTGATTCTTAATTATTCGGCATACAGTTAAACTAAATTATTGGCACTCTGTTGAAACTCTTGCCGGATAGTGCCTGCAATTGGGAAGATTGCCTTAGCGATGTCTTTTTATGTTTGTGCACTGCAACGCTCAGACTGAAAGTGTTAGTGGTAAAAAACTCCGATTTCTTTCATATAGTTATAAGAGTGGATACTTTGTGTACGATGTAGGGGGTTTATAATTGATGACAGCATTATGAGTTTAATACGTCGTTTCAAATTTTAAAGTTATTTAATCTGTAGTATTTGGAAAAAAACACCGCGTATATAGGCCTTCGGAATATGTTTTGCCCAGAATAGCATCGAGAAGTATCCACGTTTTGCTTTGGTAACAATTTTGGAACGTACTCCCCACATTTTCAAATCAAGAGAAAGTTTATAATTTATAAAAAAAAGTCACGTAAAACAATAAACTAATTCCAATGCAAAGCGCCCTGTCCAATAGGGTATACGGACTTCGATCCGATTCAAAACTGTTTTAAAGTAGGAACGGATACGTATTGTAAAGCTGTGCTTCTCAAAAATATTATTTTTCAAATGAATGTATTTATGAATACTAGTGCCAGTCCTTCATTTTTTCATCCTCATCGTCCTAATAATAATGGCAAATTGTCAAAATATTTACTGATGAAAACAGTAATAAACTAGAAAAGCATTCGGAGAGCGCAGACCTGCGCCAAGGCAGCAAAGTCTCTATCCAATGCCGTTTCACCCACAAATTTTCGATATTTTTGGTTATTGATTGTTGGTCCGGTTCACCACCAAAAACTAATCAACTCTTCCCTGGTCCACTTCTGACAGTTCCTGAAAATTTCATCAAAATCGGTTCAAAACTTTTTGAGTTATGTTGATGACAGACAAACAAACACAGGGGTGAAAACATAACCTCCTAGGTTAGGCTAGGCGGAGGCAATCACTTTTCATCTGAGTAGTGACAGAGCAAACACTGTAAATACACAGTGACTGTGTATATACTTTTTTTAATCAGGAGTTTCGTGCAGAACCACTCAGATTTTAAAATAAGGCTCGTTCTAAGACTTTGCAAAGAGTACCACAAAATAAATAAATGAATATAGCGAAATAAATATAATTGTCACCAGACATTCTAGATTTAATGCTGGTCCCGGTTCACCGTATTTTGAAATGACACAATACTGTTATTATTTACCTGCCGACGCTACAATCAACGCTTAAAGCCTGATTGGGTGCCACGTCCACACTTTCTGTCACACATCGGCCGTTACGACAGTTGATATCGGGATATCTCATTTATACATTCATGTGCTTTGAAGTCCACGTTGAAATAATTTCGGCGATGAAGAGGATTTTTGTTCTGCTGCTGATGTTTGCAAATTGCAAGGCGCAAAGTGAAGACGGTCAGTATGGAAACCTAATGTTGTATGCGTACAGCAAATAGGTTTAGAAAGAGAGAATGATTTTACCTACTATTTTGATTTCAAAAATCGACATTATTTTGTTCCTTGTCACAGGTGTTATGTAAGCAACTGGTTTAGCTATACGTAATGAGTTAAACAAACCATGCGAATATTTGCATAAGAATAGTTTAAGAATAGTGTATTTTTTCAATCAACCGCTACTTTTGAACTTGTTTACCTCCAATACATGATGTCTGTCTAGAGCATCTTCAGCATCTTCATCAGCTGATTAAATTACATTACTGCCAAAATTATTCTCAGACTGTATTGTTTAGTTCATATACTGGAAGGTTTTAATATTAGCATGTTGTTTGTCTTTATACTATAATTCTTTTTTAACACAATTATTTTATCAATTTTACAATTATTTTATCCACCGCATTTTTTTACTTAGGCCTACATTTGTAAAACCTATGTCAAGTTGACACGATAAGAAAGCAAATCATATCAGTTTTAAGAACAAACACACTTGACGCAACACTAAAGCAAATTATATCAGTTTAAACAACAAATTTGCAAATGATTAAATGCAGAATCCTGTCCAACTGGGTACGTTGGCTTCGATCCGTCTGGAAATTGCTTCAAGGTTGGGGGAGATTACGTGATGTGGATTGAAGCTAAAGGCATATGTGAGAACGAGGGAGGTAACCTGGCGGTCATCACGAGTGCAGAGGAGCAGGCATTCATTGTCGACCTGTTGAAAAGTCCACAGTAAGTTGCACTTCATATTCGCTGTGGAAATAATTCTCGTGGTGTCCAACTGCGTCTCTTAACATCGACAAATTTCCTCACCAGTGCCATAGCCGCCGAAGGCCAGTCCTTTAAAAACACTTTTTAGCACTCTGTCTGTTTTTATCATTCTTCTCTGTTGCCAATACGAGGAAATGTAAGTTATTTATATGATCATAAGAAGATAACAAGAAATTAGTTAATTTTATTTGCTTTATTCATTTATACGTACTTTCTCTAAAATATAGAACGTTTTCTGTCAGGGTGTTTTTTTAAATCACATTTTAGTGTACCAGAAGGGAATTACGGGTTTTATATAGGGTTGAGCAGACCCGCAAATGGAGCTTGGGCGTGGGTAACTGAGGAGCCGTACGAATTCAAAGACTGGTATGGACCTAACCCAGACTTTAGAATGGATAAGGACGCCTGTGTTCAGATAGGAGTGGTGGACAAACAATGGAGGGACACTACGTGTTCACTAACGCGAAGATACATCTGTGAGTTCCCAAGAATCCACACCTGCAGGTAAGATATACAGTTTAAGCCCGTGCCTTATGTAAAGCCTATAAAGCAAAAAAAAAAAAAAAAAAAAAAAAAGCATACGGCCTGGTTGTTAAGCATGTATTTTAGAAAAAAAGTCGCTGTGTTCTGAAGAGCTTATCTCATTTTTGAAAAAAAGTATGAAATTTACGCAAGGATGATAACATGTATATGTCCCTATACATAAACGTGTGTTCACAATTCTTTATCAACCTAAAACACTTAGTTTATTCCTATGTAGCTTGAAATATAGATCACTGACTCAAGTGATTCTGCGTATTTATGTCGACCGTCTTTCAGCAGTACGGCTTGCCCAAACAAAATAAGCGCCTGGTCAAAAATAGTAGAATTTATAGTAATGATTGATTTAGATATTTATATTAGATGCTAAGAGTTGCTGTTGACATGTTGTATTCACGAATCTATCAAAACCGTGTTTCAGATGCGGAGCGAAAAAAGGACAAAGGCGCTAAGGATGCCAACAGTAGCACCAGGCGAAAAAATATACTGGACGTCATAAAACACTGAACATTATTCAGAAAATGCAAAAAGAAAGTATAAGTAAAGTTATATTAATTTTCTCTGTAGATGAATAGGTAACGTTCGCTTATAAAATTCACCGGGAGAACGTGCCCTTGGGGTTTAAGAAAATGCTTAACAGTAAACTGTCTATATATTTTCTATNTATACTGGACGTCATAAAACACTGAACATTATTCAGAAAATGCAAAAAGAAAGTATAAGTAAAGTTATATTAATTTTCTCTGTAGATGAATAGGTAACGTTCGCTTATAAAATTCACCGGGAGAACGTGCCCTTGGGGTTTAAGAAAATGCTTAACAGTAAACTGTCTATATATTTTCTATCCAATTGTTTCATTTGTCATTTGCTTTCAAATGTTTGCCCTCAAAGTCCATTCCGCTTGTATTTCATGAATACGTTAAATGCGCGTGCTTACAGATGGCTAGTTGTTTAATTTATTACCAAAAACAATCACAACCAAGTTTTGATTTGTATCTTAGGAAAATTTTGTAAAAACAAAACGCTGGTGTATTGCCATGCTGCATTATTTTCGATCTGCAATATACTGCCATGGCTCGGCTGACTAATGGTTCTTGATGAAGAGAATCCCATAAAATATTTTACTACTGTACCAGCATACAGCGTTTACAAAAACCCCGTTTTGCAAATCCGCATTTGTAAAACTTCATTATTATGTTATTTTTAGGAATCGACATGCTGGTGCAAAAATAGTCCTGGTTCATTTTTCCCATTGATCAATTTGTAAAGACATTATACTAGTAGGAAAAACATCATTATTAATCGGCCTAGACATGAACAAATACTGAACAAACATTTAAAAAAATCTTGCTGCATGGATAGCATTATTTCATAAATGAAAGGCGAAATAGCTGGTATATATACATATGTAATATTTATTTGAATATTATATATATGTTAAAAACCAGTTAAGAAGCATTCTCAAGTCACGATTGTGCACTAGTAAGTAGTCAAGATGATTGAACAAAAATATTTAAAAAATCTCTCCAGAATGATAATTTTATTACTATGACAACGTTACATACCGTTCACTAGTATTGTATTTTTACGGGTTCTGTCGAATAGTACAACTACGCAGCCATTGGAAAAAACGTTATCACTTCTGTGCCCCTGACTAAAAAGCAGAGGTATATAATACTCAAAGCGTTGTTTGTTTAGTGGTATACTTACTTAGTATACAAAGAATTATATATGAATTTTCGATACTTGTCATTATATATGACAAGACATGTTTAGGATAAGCGAAAGACAAAAAAATGTCCTATTGTTGAAGGGGGGGGGGGGGGGGGGGAGTGTTAAGAAATCATTAGAAGACCGTTGTGTTAGGTGTTCCTTGTGGTCGCATTTACTACAGCAATCCAGCGCCACACATCCCATAGGAGCGTCATCGTTCTTGAAAACACAGTCGCGAAGAAGATTTAACGTCTATGAATAAGCTCTAAAGGTTTACTAGAAAATGTGTGATAAATGTATGCTATATATTTTGGCAGTAGTAGACAGTGCCTTCAGTAGATATACGTGTAATAGGTATGTCGCAATTATCATAAATATACATAAAACAGAATGCTGTAATGTCAACAAAACAGAGGTGAAACAAATGTGGCTATTTTTTCAGTCCAGAATGTCTGAATGCTGCTATAGTAGAGAAAAGGTCCCTATCAAGGGCACCTGGCAAGTTTAATTACGTGTATATCGTGGCCTGTTCAACTTTACCGAACACCGTTGTTGTTATTATTGGAACGAAACGCCTAAAAGAAAGGCATATTTTCTTAAGGCTTCGAGCCTTTCAAAAGCGACACTGAATCATTTAAAACAAAATTTTGGAAACATAACTGATCCGGCGTAGAACCACTGTACCCTGTTAATTCGTATTGTTAGGAATAAAGGAATCGCTACAATGTATAACAATACGGTATGCACGGCCTCTAATACACTGGGTTTCTACTATTACAAGCCTGCGCGAAAAGAAATGTAAATTTAGCCGGCCTTTTCGCATGTCTTTTGACCGTCGCTATGTGAAGGCAACAAAGAAAATGCTGTGGAAGGAAAAGAGTGACCATATTTTACAAGACTTCGAAGGACACTGTTCTCTGTCCAGCCATAATCGTTTACTTTCTGGAGAGGTAAGAGTATTATCTTCCCTGAAGTCCGCTCGTTGTCATATGCTGTTGTCAAGGTAACGTTTGGGTAGGAAATTATTCTGTTTAATTGTTTCTGTGTTATACTATTTCGCTTTGACCAATATACACAAACCATAACGCCACACCGTCATTTTACAATATCCTCACACGCTTCAGCCAATGTGGATATTAGTTACAGGTAACACCAACTAAGGGGTAAGTAAATATACAACCTTTTATCGCTTTACATGAGAAAAACAGTCAAGTTTGTACCACTCAAGCCTTGAGAAGATCGCTGTAAACAGATGATAAGATAGCGTAGTATTAACTACAACCATAAAAAGATAGATTATGGTTTCTTAAAAAATAACCGTGAAACCTAGTTGTATAACATGGGGACAGTTATGATAGAAATAAGGAACATCTAGACCTGTTGTGGTCGAGGACGCTGGGACTAGGGTAGGATTTCCGTTGTTAATATGACTACATCGTGTGTGTGTGTGTGTGTGTGTGTGTGTGAGCGTACTTGGCTATTCAGTGAGTAGTACGAGTGGTCCATACATGGACTGTGTCCAGTAGTAGGATATATTTACATGTAGCGGTATGTGCATTAATATTGTAAGTTCCTAAACGCATTTATGGGAATTACATCTTAATATTAGTTCTGCAGCATGAGAGATATACGTTGCTCGTGGCATATACCGCGAGAAATAATCTACAGAGATTTTGTTAATGACAAGTAGACACTGCAAGCTGCGTAAATCATGAAAAAATGTGGACAAAATAAATTGTTTATTATTCGAGTAAGTACACACATGGTATAGTTACATTAAAAAACATATATATAAAGTTGTGAAATCTAACCAAGTCCTGCAAGATTTTCTCCTGGATACAGATTAATCAGAAAATAATTTATCCCCCCCCCCCCCCCAAAAAAAAGGATGATTGTCAATTCTATCACAGTGACTCTTAGTGTAATGGTGATTTTCAACGGTCCTTCAGACTTTTAAAACGCAATTTCGTAAGTTTTGGTTTTCACTATAAATAGCACATACCTGAAATTCTCTAGATATGAAGTCCATGCACGTAAAAAACAGTAACAGCAAGTCTACATGTATAAGTAGGCAACGTATGAGTAAACAGATGCAACGTATAACACATTCTTATTGACTTGCTTTTACTCTATTTCAATCTGAATAAAAATATTCCGAAATTGAAAAATACACAATAATTTCCCTTTAGTAACTTTTAATTTAATACGTATATCAATTCAGAGCAAATTATGAGAAAGTGCTCATAATGACAAGAATATCTGCACAGCACTGGTAAAACCTATCCCAAACAAACCCAAACGCCAGCATGATCAAGTGTGCTTTTGGATGATCCTAGTGGTAACACAAAGCTGGAAACGTAACTCGATCTTACAGTCACTGAGGTGCAAAGATGTAATAACATGATCATCATTGTATAGTACGACTCCTTATATAAATTCACAAAGAGCGATAAACAGGGGTATCGCTGCGTATGCAGAGCAGAATTGTAGTCATGGGCAGAATTTGTAAACATTATCTTTAAAGATACCTTGGATTAAATGGCGTTGTTAGAAAAGGAGGTAAGTTAAAGAGTGATATTTTTGCTTTTTACGCTTGGGTGGGTGGGTGGGGGGAGTGTTGTGGGAGTGGGGTGGAGGACAGTTACAGAGTGACATTTTATATAGACAAGTAAGCTTGTTTCGATGGCTTAAAGAACGGTGCGCGTGAGGCCAGGTATAGCTTGCTATGAAATATATCGATACTACTAGTACACATTACTGCGAGACTAATAAAATTAGTGACTCCTTTTCGTCATCTTTGTATCTTTATTGCAGATTAATATATTCATAAGGAGCAGGCAAGGACTAGTCAAGGCCGGCCTCGGCTATAACTGAAGACATCACTTCCCAGTTGGATGAAACATGCTTCACCGCAGATTCAAGACAGTCGCAGTGTAACTGTTCGCTATGTTCATGCGTGACAACACTTTGTCTGACTTAGGCTATACCTGAGAATAGTGCACTTACCTGAGAGATTACGGGCAGCATTAGACTGTTAAACCCTTGTTATGGCAACAGACGTCATACCAGGCACATTAGTTGCCCGAGAAATTGATCAGATGTTAAAGAAATCATCTGATTACCAAGGTGCTAAGAAACAAGTGGACAAGTTGATGTCCAAGTCCAAAGTGGACTATGTTAAATCAAATTACCGATTAACAAAGTTTCAAAATATTCCCGTACAAAAACTGGACCTGGGCCAGTATATGTCTGCTGATGCGCGGCAATGGAAAAGGAAAAGAAGGAGAAAAAAGAAGAAACAGACAGCATCGGAAGAAGAGAGTCGACTGTTTGAAGCAGAAGTGAAGAAAGAGGAAACAGAGAAATCAAATTACGTTCGGGTAAGTGATGAATTTCATCGAAGTAGGTTCAACATTTCTTGGTACATGTAACTATTCAAACAATTGTTAGAAAGATGCATCATGAGAAAGTGATTTTTAAAAAAGGTATTGGCACTTATTTAGTTTCCTGTCTCTCTATCTCACACACACAAACACACACACACACACACACAGAGAGAGAGAGAGAGAGAGAGAGAGAGGGGGGAGAGAGAGACCGAGCATTTTTTGATACAGGGGATCACAAGGCGGGGAAGGGTTCACAGTTTGTCTTATAAATATTGAAATTCTAGGATAACCCCCCCCCTGCTACCCCAAGGAACTGCAAACACTCACCTACACTTAAATGAATAAATAAGCTGACCCATTCAAAGTACCACCCGTAATCACGCACGCACACACACGCGCGCGCGTGTACAATATACTTCACAATCTTTATCCATGCCCTGAATTCTAACATATTACGTGTATGTTTTTATAATGGTGATCGAATTTATCATTCACCTTATCCAATATCTATCATATCATTTTATCTTACAGCCCTATGACAAGTTTCGTCGGACAGCCAAGGCAGTGCAGATGATTATTAACGTGTCTCATGTTTGTCAAGAGTAAGTACGCACATTCAAAAAGGCATTAAGAAAACATGACCGCCTTTTAACAAAATAATGTGTTTGTCTTCGCTATGGCGCATCCTTTAATACCTTGGTAGCGTTAAAATGCACGCACTCAGTGTGTAATGGTCTGGCATGTCCAAGCGACCAGTAAAGTTTTTTTTTTTTTTTTTTTTTTTTTTTTTTTTGGGGGGGGGGGGGTAAGTTGGGAAGAAATTGTATTTGTGTTTAAAATGATCAAAAATGCCAATGTCGGGCCAAATATATATACAGCAGCTTTAAAATAGCATCATTTTAAATACATGTAGTTCAGTGGTATTTTTGTTAGTTTTGACTAGTATAGCAGTTTAATGAAACATCTTGTGTTACACAAAATATTTCTGCACATTTGGAGAAACATCCCATTTCCCTTGGTTCAAAATTTCTTCCCTGTCCATTCAGAAAGGGGGGTGCGCTGGTATAAGGAAAATCTTCGTGGAAAATGTGTGTGCATTATTCACGTAAGGGATGTTTACTAGTAGTGAGAACGTGTACGCCAAATAATCAACCCCTTTTCTTTTATTTTCAGTCTCCTAGCATACTACGTCCGTAACGAGTCCTGGTACGCGATCTTAGACGATTTGGAGGGCGAGGAGAGGAAGAAGCTGGGAAGTAAGACTGCCTTCATTACCTACGTCAATAACGAGGAGGGCACCGGCAGAGACAAGATCGTCTTCGACTTTGCCGAATACAAAAAGGATTTTAAGTCAGATGTAAGTTCTGATCGAAAGACTTTGGAATTATTTCTTTAAGCTTATAGTGCTGATGGGCAAGAGGGAATTAATGTCTTTATCAGGGGTCATTAATCATTAGAGAGAAATCACTTTATTTTAACAATACAAAAGAAGCATAGTAAAGTCATAACCCAGTTGTCAGCGGCTTTAGGTGTGATCTTTTATATTCCTTTGAAATATGAATACCGTGAATTATAAGAATTCGTTCAGCATGCATTTAAGGCGTGGCATCTCTTCTCGCGTACATTCATTATTATCAGACATGTTGAGTTATCCATTGGACAGAAATAGTCTGGGATTTGTACTAAATGCTTCCTTGCACCGACTAGGGCAAACTTGAACGCGTGAGTGCGGTGAATAAGATTGTCGAGTTTCAGTCAATATTGAACACCTCAGCACCTCGCCCAATTAATTACTACTTTAAAACTACAAAGAACGTGGGTTCCTTTTTTTATCAAAATTACTTCACTGCAAAGACTGTATCGATCCTGCTTTTAGCAGTCACATTCTTCTTAACGCTGCCTTTTCTTTCCGTCATTCAGAAAGCTTTGCTAAATTAGGCCAATTTCCGTAACACAAAATGCCGTAAGGAAAAGGTCGGTACGGGCATTGCATCTGGCGTAATTATAGAACTTACGTGAATGTAAACTAAATGAAGCAAAATATTTAGAGCAGAAAGCAGTGCAGTTATTTTCCTTTAATCTTTTTGCAGTGACAGTGTCCTTAGAGTGTGAAGTAAAGGCGTATGAGCTATAAACACTGAAACATTAATGTATTGAATACGAGTCAATGACAAACGTGTTTGAAAAATAAATTCTTCTTGTTACATCTTTATCTATAGTTAAAAAAGCTCATAATTTAGTCCCTAGGACTATTTAATAATAAAGTCGGTAAAAGAAGAAATAAAAAGGTCTCATATCATTTTTCCGTAGGACCTGATCAGCGAAGAAATTCGCGCAATTCTGAACAAGATGCCCGGAACACGCACGGAAGAAGAAGCCATGATGGTAAGATTCTCTCTCTAAAGAATGCTCCAGATTCCGAAAGGTAGACGTTAGACCCTAAGATGATATGGTACTAAAATTACAGTAAATTATTGAAACTAATTTGTTTATGATTTTTGTTAACTTTATGAACATCCTTTGGCTGTTGCACTTTTCTTTTTCATTGCGTTTCTTGTATGTTTTTCTACAATTCCAGGTGCTAAAAATGATGAAGAAACTTTCCGATGGCTTCAACCTTTACCCGTTCGTGGTTCAAAAGAAAATATGCCAGTTTGCATTTTTTGACAAGTAAGGGCAAAAAATAAATCTTCTGCGTGCATCAGAATATTTTCAAAAGTCATATTTTCACTCTGAAAATACTTCAAAACATTTTTGAAAGTTACAATATTTGAATATTACAAAGTTTGAAAGATGATAAAACTGGCGCTTTTCAAAATTCTGGCATTGAATGCAATGTAGATTAAAGTTTTAGAGGCATTTTGAATTTTTGTTAGCAAAGGGAGAGAAGCAGTGTAGATTGATGTGTCTTGTCTGTGATTTAGGTATTATCGTGATCGTGTCATTATCAGACGAGGATTACCTTCGGACGGCCTCTATTTTGTGCTTTCAGGAGCAGGTATCATTCACAATTATTCTACACATTTTAGTCCTATAAAGATTTTATCTCAACTTAAAAGTTATTTTTATTATTCACATTTTTTCTAATTTTAGTCCTATTAAGTGCTTATATCAACCTAGAAATGATTTTCATCTGTGATAAGCTACTTTAAGTAAATGAGGCAAAATATTTGTATCAAAATCCTTTCAAAAGCAATTCGAGCTCAGAATGTTATTGTCGATATGAGGTATTTATCACGCAGTATTCCATTTATTCCATTATTATTCCAGTCATTGAAAATGCTCCGAACTGGAAACAGCACGTGCATCTGAAAAGAGGGGATATATTTGGGGTAGGTTTATCTACATGTAAAAGTATTTTAAAAATGTTTGCAACTAACATCCACTATTTACAATACTGGTCAAATTCAGATGTTGTCCTAGGTGGAAAAAAGGCATTACAAAGTAAATGTACGTGCTAGAGTATAATTCATCAGATACTAAAGCCAAACTAATACATGTATTTGTCCAACTCTTTGTATTAAATGTAACTATACCGTGGATTTTTCTTTTCAATGTGCCTTGGGGCGAATTGACACCCTTTTTTTTTATTGAACTCTCTTCTTTTGTGCAAAATTACACAATCTAATAATTATTGAAAAGTTAATTGGCCTATTATTGATACTGTGCTACATAGTTTGTACTGGTACCTAAAAGATGTTCCTGTAAAGAAAAAAATGCATAGTATTTCACAAAGTCCAAACGTTTATTTGACCCCTTTTCATCACTGTCTCTCTACTTTTCTTATCACTTCACCTATACAACATTGTCATTCGCTAGTAATTTGTTTTTCAATGGCCGTTTATAGGAAAAAGACCTCGAATGTGGTTGCGCAAGGCGATCGGATGCCATCATCAAAAGTACAAGTGCGGAGCTCCTCTTTCTCCATAGATTGGATTATATGGATATTTTCAGCCAATCTGAAGATGCAGGGGACCCTAAAATATTAAATATCTGCAGGTCAGTCGTTGTGTGTTTCATTCTTAATTGGTTTAATACGGGGTTTAAACGCTGTATACAAATACATACGTACATACACACATACATACATACATACATACATACATAAATCAACGTGTGTGAAGGATATTTCAGTTAGTTGAAAGTTTAACCGCTATAAAATCCTCGTGTGTGATGATTTCAGAAAGGAAATCGTATTTCAACATTTCCCTATGGAAGTTCTGGAGAAAAACCCAGGGACGTGGGCGGTCCTGCACTACAAGTAAGAGTTTATTTTAATGGAATACTTGTACATAGGCCATTATCATTATAAGTCGTTGCGCATATATACCGATACGTTTCTTGAGAGCTAAGTTTTGGATTTGTAATCATGTTAAAGCTAAAGCAGAGGCCAAGTTGTTTTTCTTTTTGAACACAATGTAACTTATTTTTATTTGTCCATTAGCAATCAGATTTATTTTACAGTTTTCTCTGCATCTGGGAACAACAACCTAACGCGCATTAAGTCAAATGTTTTAATTAAAGACCGGGGTCATTATTTTGCAGGTCTTTCTCCTTTTTGTATAATCTACCTGCTTGTTCAGTATGAAAATGCATTCTTTCAGGTTTGGACGACTAATTGTGAAAAACAGCAACGACATTGAATGGATATATGTAGTAAAGGCGGTAAGTAGCCTATCACAAGGCTGTAACGTTTGGTCGGTGTGGTTGTCTCTCTTGCACATGCATAATGTTATGATTATGTCGATAATTAAATCATTGGGAGAAACCATCAAATATTCACGATTTGGTCAAGGAACCCGTACGTGGTTCTAAAACAGATTTTTACTTGCATGTACATTTTATAGCCTAAAAGTAGGCCTACTAATATATTACACTTAGGCGTTATTTACTACATGTATGCATTTGGTTATTTTCATTTAAGTACCTTAACAGTAAAAATATGTTAAAAATAACACGCGTTTTCAACATCACAGGGCGAGGCCCGCGTAATCAAGCACTTGAGTGTCGGAAAAATCAGTGTGAGCGCACGGAGGAAAAAAGTCCAGGCTATGGTGGACGCAGATGATCCTTTTGTTAAAACCAAACAGCTACTAAACTTCGTATCAGCAAGAGATTACCGTAAGTATAGTGACTACCAGATTCCAAGTGGGCAGAGTTATTGATAAAATCGCCTTTCCAGTTGTTGATATAGTCTAGATATAGTCTTTTATGTCCTTAAATCTAATTATAAGTATTGGGCGTCGGACATGAAGTTAGAGAACAAATCCCCACTGCAATGGAAATAATTGAAGCAGAAGGAAACATTTAATATTAGGAGTATGCGACTATCATTTAATATTAGGAGTATGCCACTTCATTTATCACTCAGTTGAAAGATTACCGTTATTTCTGATAGAAAGACGCAGTTTGCCTTGATAAATTGGAATATTCATTTATTATTATATAAATAGAAGAACATTACAATTACTCCTTATATTATGAGCTATAATTCGTTATGTGACTGATTTTTCAGTCAAGTCTCAGTATCGTCTGGGCCATTATCACCCCAAAAACCCCGAGGGAACGCCAAGGATAGTCCTGCCAAAATCATCACCACCAAAGTCAGCACCGCCTACACTCAAACTCAAAGGACAACTGACCACAGAGGTTCAGGTTGAAAGGAAGAAAACTAGTCAGATAGTGCGCCCACAGACCAGTCCGTCGGTAGGTGGAGACGGGAAACAAGACAGTCTCCATCCACCAAGACCCCAGACAAGTGCATCCATGAACGAACCTTCAGGAGACGAGATTAGCGATGGGGAGTCCAAACCAAAAGCGTTTCTTCCAAAGTTGAATATTTTAAATCTAAACAATCAGGGAAGTTTTATCAAACAGCTACGGCTTCAAATAGAGAAAGAGAAACTTGAAGAGGAAGCTCAGGAGGAAGGCTTTGACCCCTCCCCACGTTCATCTATAGCTCCCAACAGCAGCCGCTCCAAAAATGGCCGAAAGCACAAGAGGAGGGTTTCTCTGAAACCTGACGATGACGATCAAATCGCAGTTCCGCCGTTTGTTCAGATCGAGACGCTTCAGGCAGGACAAGTGTTTGTAAGTAGCACCTACCGTATTTATTAAGGCGAAACGTGCCTGTTTATGATGCAAATCATCGCACTACTTCGTGACAAGAGTTTGTTTCTGGAATTGTTCCTAAAACTGTCCCTATGCATGGGATTTGCATCTGGTACATATCGTTAACTTGAAAACCTTTGTTCTTTATTTAAACATGAGCTAGTTCGTTAATACTGGTTAGGTTCGGAAAAATAGTGCTTATAGAATAAATGGATAGTTATTTTTAAATAATTACCAAATTACATATTCTCCAATTTGGTGAAAATGTCTCAATTAAAGCCAGGTGAAATAACGAGAGGGCCAAAATAGGTTTTTTCTATTTACCTCTTAACTACTTCAGGGTCTGAGAGGAATCTTAGAACCGGACGAAAGGGGAGCTTCTGCAAGTTTGGTAAGATGCTCACTCCTGGATATTTTTGTCCTTTGTTTTTGTTGCAAGATTTGTATATAACTCATGACAGTCATCATCCCGGCGGATTTAGAAGTTTTAATCGTATATATACTTCCTAATTTTATACATTTCTGATGATACTTTAAGGAACAACGGCATTTCTTTTCTAAAACATGATTAAGATGACTTGAATATGTTATTTTAGAGCGTTCTAACTGCAAACCTAGGTTACACATGGAACTTAAAATTCAGTATTTTGCAGTATTAATTCTCCCTTTATTAATTTGAAGATGTGCTTTAAGGTAATACATCATTTGTATTTTAGGTAAGCGCTGGCTGTGATATCCTTCAGATCAACAAGAAATTCTTCATGATGCACGTCGATGACACGGTTCTTGGTCTTGTTAGGATGAAGGTAATATATCCCTTTGCACACGTATACCCCGTAAATGTGTTGACAAAACTTTCAGACCCGAAGACCAAATTCGATCTGAGGACCAGATTAGAGCCGTAGTGCGGGTACATGTACATACATATTTACCGAGTTGCCTACAGGTGGTCGGGTCCTGTTGGGCGAAGGATCAAAGTTTATCCAAATATGTTCCCTTCACGTCATAATGACTTGCAGGCAGGCCTGTGAGATATTGGCTTTAATGGCATTTGACTCGCGCAAATGAATTGTTCTAAAATCCCCAGAGCACCCCCTAATCATCAGTAACTCTGTTGATGACTGCGTGTGGGTCAGCTTTGGTTTTTAGTTCTTTATTCATACCTTAAAGGGATAATAACTCTTCATATGAGATCTATATTTCACAATAAAAACATTGTGAATAACTCATAGAAATATAATCTATTGTGTTTTACCACAAAAACAGCAGTTATAGCTATTATTCTGATATCTGAGCTTGTCTTTAGACCTTTATTGATGGCTATACTCTGTTAAAATCTCTTAGGAGATTTTAACAAAAAACCAAACTTTTTAGAAAAAAACCAGGGACTAACTTTGAATGTAAAAATAGATTCATTAACCACTGGTAAGTATGGAAAAATTGTTGTTTACTCCAGGAAAATTCATTTTTTGGCCGAACCGAAGAGTTATTATCCCTTTAAGCAAAATTGTGGTGAAAAGTGCAGATTTGCTAAATATTACTGTGTGGTTTCCAGGCGAAAGTTTGTTTGTTCCTAGATATTTCCTCTGATTATCCACTGAAATGAAGTATATTATCAAATACAAAACGAGTCTGCGTGAAATGAAAAAGAACAAGACCAAAGGAAACAACATTTTCTGAAATGGATAATTATTAATGATACACGTAATATTACAAAGCCTTGAGCACGTTAGCATTGCAGAAAGAATCATATAAATTTGTATTACATTAATCCATACCGAACTCCGATTTCAGTATAAACCATTTCCAACTGAGGACGACCTGCTCGACCGCCTGGACAACAATCTTCAATGGGAGAAATATAAACAAGAGACTGTCAAGGAATACGTTGATAACAAAGCTGCCCAACAGTCCTTGAGGTGATGCAAAAGTTTCAGAAGTCACGTTAATCATAACCTGTTTTCTTAAAGGTCAAGGCCAAATTTGACGGGGACATTGCGTCTTTTTGATGTGTTCTGCTTATACAACAGAAACCTGGCCAGGCTACATTTCTCCAGCTGAAATAGACTTAATAATACTACAGAAACAGAGAGACATTTTTTGCTCTGTTCAATAATCACATGGAAACTTTTGTGGCGAAGGGAGTCACCGGGATACTCGACAGTAGGAAAGTAGATAATTATGCAATAAGGCTAATAAATTATAATAACGTAAGTATATATGACCTTCTTACCCAGGCAGTAGGTGATAAATTTATCAGGACTGATAGAATACAGGAAGAACTGCGTTTTGCTACATATGATGACATCAATAAGAACATACTGATGCATGTATTTTGTGTTACAGTAGGTTACAAGTTAACTACAGTAGGTTACAAATTAACTATCAAAATGCAAGTGCGTAACTCTACAACGCTGGTTCTGGTGGTTATTACGGACGGATGAAAATTCATGCCTCGTCAAAACTGAATTCATTGAATGTTTCATTTCCATTTAATACATTTTGCCTTCTAAAGAACTACTGAATATATGCTAAAGGTATATGAGGTCAGCATATAGCACTTTACAACAAGCACGTAATCTATTGTCTCATTTGTACAAATATTTCTTTCCATTATATTAATGATATATATGTTTGTGCTTTTGTTTGTTGCATTTTCATATCTGTGATTTTTGATAATCAATTTACAACCGTTTGACTTAAATAATGTATTTGATGTATTTATCGTGTATTCTAAAGCATAAAAAAAATTACAAACTGAAGAAATCATGCCAATAAAATTTTCGAGCTACATATTTAAATAAGAGTGTCAAAGTTATATTTACAGACATATTTAATATCACAAGTGCAAAAGAACTTCTTAAAGTAGGAATAAAGTACATTTAATTATATCTCGAAAGCGAGGTAAATACAACTTTCACACAACCACGTCATGTTATTTACTTTCGATAAACGCAATGTAGTAAAATAATATTCAAACAGCAAGATCTGAATACTTAATTATTACAAATAACAAAAAGAATATAACATTTAACTCCAGGAATGGTTACTAATGCAGATATGTGGCGTGGAGTCCCATATTGTCAAAATATTCAAAATATGGCAATGAAGAAATCCATTCAATTTTTCATCCAATAATCTTGAAGGCCTATACAAGGACCTAGTAGGGCCTATCTCATTAATATTTATAATGGCGCCGATGGGTCCAAGGGCAATCAATACCAATACCGTTTACGCTCAGCATTAGCTCAGTCTTGGAAAGCTCGCTGTCAGGTTTGCCAAGTGCCTCAGTTGCACCACGAGGCTTCAGCCAATCAGTCGATGCATCGCAAGCTGACTGCCAGAACAGCATGTTTGTTTGTTTGTTTGTTTGTTTGGATGGATATTTTGCTATCTTTTCCAGTCTCATCGTTGTCTAATGTTTCTTAAAGCGCGTCTTATCTGCACAGTCAACAATGGGATGTCAGTGATCACGATGAAGAGGATAATGGACGTAAAGACGGCGACAGCGAGGGTAGCGTTGGGGATCACGACTGTCATGGGTGCCTCCAACGGCACGGTACGGGAGCCTCTTTTTCGGGGCACAACCTTGGTGATGGTTTCTGGAAAATGAATTATTCAGCGTGCTGATCGAGGAATGTAGCAGTGATCATAACCATGAGATTGTATATAATAAAAAGATGGGGAAACACACGTGTTGACATACCGGTAAGCAGAACAGACAAATATGCGATTCTAGGACAATTCCCCCCCGGACNATGGAGAGAAACGGTCCTTTCAAATATATGCTAATTGACAGTTCACTCTTTAAATTGTCTTTTCAAACATTTGCAGAATAACATATGACCTCCAACTATAATTCTTTTAACCACACTGAAAATTCTCAAATCTAATCAACTCATATCAAACCCCATGTCCTTTCACTACTACAAATTCCACATGGTCTCTTCCTTTACCTGCCTATATGTCACATTCAAATGTTCCCTTCACTTTTAAAGATTTCTCAGACGTGTATGAATAATACTGTTTGTTTTGTGGTCCTCCACAAGAGCCTGAGCCACATTTATTTTTCTAATTTTTATTTTTATTATTATTATTATTATTTTTTTTTTTTTGGATTTCAGCATTCCCCATGTATTTTCATCAATGATATTAAAATATGCACCTGAATCTGGTAATACACCGAGATCAACGCCGCCTATCATATCCACCATATTTGGCATGTCTGTGTATATTGCATTGGTTCCCACACCAAATGTCTATGCACCCCTGGATTATCATGTTCATAACTGTCATTTACATGAACAATAGTTTCAGTTTTGCAGACTTTTGCAAATTGATCCAACGTTCCATGTTTTTTCAGTCCTGGGGTTTCTACTTCATTTTTCATGTCTGAACTCGTGGTGTTTAGACTGAGTTTGTTTGTTAAATGACTTCGGTTTCACCATACTCACAGTTTCACTTTCATTTAAAGCGTTATTCATGTTTCTCACCTGTGTAACAGTGTTTGAGAGAGTCCTGAAAACATCTTGTACAGTAGGCCTACACCTGTCCCTGCTGAATGCAACATAAGCGCGCGTCTCCTCTGACATGTATTTTTAATTTTCTGTCTTTGTTCATTATTCATTCCGTCCGTTGGTTCTGAAACGATCAATCCTTTTCCATCAGCGAAGAGTTTAAAACCGTAAAGCCAGCGCGTCTAGCGTGGCCCTAATGTCTCCCGCTCCGGACTTCTGTACGGTTCGAATTTCGTAATTTCACATTTTTCCTCCATTTTCTCAAAGAAAGTTGGCTCACAGTTTTGCACTAGAGTTAATCCTTGTCGCCAGTGTTGATGTCTTCAAATTAAATCGCATCACAAATCAAATCACTCGACGAATTGTATTGGTTTGATATGCTTGTGCTTTTTTCATATCCATAACTCTAAGAAACGCTACATCCGGGTCCTTGACCAGCTTATCATAAAAGGCGGAATTTTAAAAAAGCGGAACGAATAGCTCTAACAAATTAACAGTTCATTCAAATGTCAAGTCAAATTAAACAAATAGTGGATTAATGAGGGGATTTTGAAAAAAAGAGAGAAAGAGATTGAGATAAATTAAATTAAAATTGATGAAATGATGTTAGTTCAATGCATTCAGCTCACTGGTCTATAAAAAAATAAATAAAAAATAAAAATAAAAAATAATAAAAATAAATAAAAAAATGACATCATATATTGGCTTGATGGCGGTTTGACATGAAATTAAAAAAGACTGGTCCAACATAAGTTTAATGCTTAAAAAATGACGTTGGCCCTACATTGGATCAACGACAAAAAATGATGTTGGTCCTACATTGGCCCAACGTTGGCCCTACATCGGATCAACGTCAAAAAAAGGACGTTGGCCCGACGTTGGCCCAACGACGGCAGGCCAACGTCAACAGTGCCAACGTTGGCCCAACGTTGGCCCGATGGCGGCATGCCAATGCCGACCAAGTGCCAACGGTGCCGACGTTGGCCCAACGTCATCTTGCTATCTGGGTAGTAGTACATGTACATGTAGGATCTACACAATGTTTTTCAATTAAGATAATTTTGTACACGGATAATTACAGATTTGAGTGTAAATAAACCGTTTGAAAATTTTATCTGTCACATTTAGGTCAAACTGTATTCCGGTTTTAGTGACAGCATGTTTATCTTTTTTTTTTTCAGACCCCACTTTCAAAAATGAGTAATAAGTTGCCCCACTTGATTTTCACCCCTAAATAATTTCTTAGAAACTTGAAATTAACCACATAAGACGAGGAGCTAGGCATGAACACTCTATATGAACACTCTTAAGGGGCCCGCACACGGTGAGCATTTGGCACGCGCCACTTGCGCTGCGTCGTTTTCTCATCTTGTGCGGGGGGGTATTTTGGTGAGATTTTTGCCTCTCGCGCGGCTGAGCAAAATATCTCACGTGTTTGATATTTTTGGTCTCTTGAGGCAAATGTCTCAGCGTGTGCGGGGTGCAAGCGCCGATTGCTCACGCCATGCCAACAATGCGCATGTGCCGGTAGCCGGAAACAAAGAAAAATGGCAGCCCCCAGCGAAGTAAACAAAAATGTACACAGTTATAGTTAGTCTGATTGATTAACGTGGTCACCATTTGCCATTACTTTCAGAAAAAAAAAAATATGTATAATGTTTCCTTAATCACATGATCCCACAGTTCGCAGTGCGTCCGATAGGGGCAGGACGGGAGGCACCTCTGCTGAGCAAAGAGTGCATCGTTTGCGGGGAGCTGAGGAGCGCGAGCATCTGGCGCAGCGCAAGTGGCGCGCGCCAATTGCTCACTGTGTGCGGGGTGCTTTAAGTGATACAAATTTGGGTCACAAGTGTGTGCAGAATAGGCTGATACAATGTATCTATCACAGTATGCAGTGTGGGTTTGACCTTTTAATATTGACTAAATGGGGAACAAGAAGGAGGAGGGGTAACAAAACATTACAAAAAAAAATTCCCCAAATTTTCCATAAAATCTGACATACTAGTTAAAAACCTTTTTTCTTCTTTGTGGCTTAATTTATACAGTATTTCGTCTTGAAATCTGATATAGGGGGATTGTTTTATAGCAGTTCCCAAAATGGAACAAGTTCAACAAATAACACCATCTAGGGGCATAATTTGCATTTGCTTTTACAGGTATTTTATTTAAAATCATCATTGTAAATGGTAAACTAACTGGACTAAAAATGATAAATTCAACTTGCATGGCATTACAACAATACATTACATGTTGTTGGCACAGCTTTGATTTTGATACACTGTATCTATATTTCTTTAATTTTGTATTTTGAAGTGGCCACAATTGAATTTAAAGATCTACCTGTAACTTGCAGTGGGGTATTGCAGTAGGAATAAAGCCCTGACTGCATTAAAGAGTGTATACAGAAGAATAGATAACATACATGTATATTATGTGATGTGACCCAGTTCCTTTTTTTCCAGATGTCAGAGGAGAACACAGCAGGTGCCACAAGTGCCTCTGACCAAACAGAAGCTGAAGATTTACCTGGGCATACCACTGACCTAGACATCAGTGCCCCGCTGAAACAAATAAAGATAAACAAGTATATCCGATAATGATATTAATTTATAGTTGTTTATCTGCACATCACTTATACTGATATGAAAAATAAATAGGACCCGCAGAAGTTAAATTGCTAAGGCAATTTATTTGTGAATGAAATAAAAGAAAAGCATGTTGTAGTATATAAAATATTGATTAAAATTCATCTTTCAAGGAGCATAATATTTACTTTTTGTGTGTGTTTTGATAGAAAATTGAATGAAGGGAAAGAGCAAAGAGTTGCAAGCGTTCCACCTGGCTGGCAAGATGATGACTGTTATCCAATCACAGACTCCGTAGGAAAAGCTATAATTTTCAATAACAAAACATTTAAATCCAACACTTCCAAGAAACCCAGGTAGACTGTGCATAATTTTACCTTTAAGTTTATTTCACAGATTATTTTATTGTATTAGAGATGCTACATAGTTTTTTAGTATATTTCTGGACTAAAATGTGTTTCACCAGGTACAGTAGCTAGTAGCACTGAAAAAGTTGTGTTACTGTCAAAACGACTACTACTGGTCAAAGTCATTGATCTGACAAAGGAAACTAAATATCAGTTCAACCATCAGTGACCAGTTAACTTACAAAGTGGCATACTGAATTTTGAATCGTGTGAGTACTTTGGTAGCTGAAATGGGTTTCACTTTGGGAATACAAATAGGGTTTATTAGTCTTTGTTGAAAACCTGAGTAATATTGAAATATTGGCTGGTAGGACCGGACAATTCCCCCCCAGGACAATCCCCCCCCCCCCCAAGAAATATATATTTATATACAAATATAAAGTAGAAAGTATAAAACATTTCATCCATTTTATTAATATTTTTAGTGTGGTAATACAGCTTCATCATGAAACAAATTATTTTATACCAAATTCCCTTTTTCATTGAGTACAAGTACAGGAAGATTGATTAAATATCTAATCGAAGTATAACCACCTATCCTTCAGGTAAAGGTGGGTAAACAGATGAACAGGTAAACAGATATTTTATAAATATTTTTAGTGTGGTGGGTGGTGGTCAAGCAATTAAAAGTGACAAATAGTCACAGGGATACCTGGATAAGCAAGAAAATCTGTTTACCCCACTTCTCTGTAGAAATGCACCTTGATTCAAGACTTACTCAATCTAGGGGGGAGAAATAAAGCATTTAAAAGTAACAGTTAATTCATCAAAGGGCTACCTGGATGAGTGAGTTCATCTGTTTACCCCTCCTTTACTTGGGGATTTAAACTTTGATCAGATTTTTAATAAAATGTTCTGTATTTGTATCACGAAAATTTTATGTACTTGTACTCCATGAAAATAATTTGTTTAATAAAATTGTTATCTTTCCTTGATTTGCATCATCACACTAAGAAATATTCAGAAAATGGATGAAAGGATTTGAACTTTGTACTCTTTACTTTATATATATATATATATATATATATATATATATATATATATTCTTCGCAGGGGGGGAGAATCTTCACAAGTCTATTACAGTAACATAGCTAATGAAACTGTTCTACACTCGGTACTATTCATTATGCATTGATTTAACATACAAGTATTAATAATTCAAATAGCAATTGCATTTGCTGTAATGTTATACAGTGATATCATGAGAATACTGAATTGCTTTAATTTTGTCTTTTCTCCAAGGATGGGAAAATATGGAGAGACAGGAGATGATGCAAAGCAGCTCAAGTCAGTTTTAGAAACGCTTGGTTTTACAGTGAAATTAAAGGAAAATTATACTGTGGACAGAATGTTAGGACATCTTCAAAATAAGGGTAAGTAATTCTTGTTTATTGTGAACAATTAATATTGAACTGTAATGTTTCCATTTTTAATAACAACAGTAGTACTTTGACTGGCTTATGATAGATGTTATAATCAAATACACCACTGCTGCAGTGATTAAGTACAATATTTTACAGAAAAAACAAAATACAATAGAAGATAATTGACAATTTTAAGCAGTAATTGCTGTTTTTTAGCAGAGTGATTATTTTATCACAACAGTTAATCCATCGTGCATGTGAGACATTTTTGATATCGTGAAGCATTCATAAAACTATCAATCAGCTTAACTTGCTTACAACTGAAACCATCAGCAATATCTACTTGCTCTAGGGTGTTGCATAAGTTATGCTTTGTTGGTGCATGAAAAATTTTAACAATTTCTTACATTATTTTGTTTAAATTTTTCAGTGGCTGCAAAAGAATTTGGCAAAAATGGGTGTTTCTTGTGTATTGTTTTGACACAAGGCGAAGAAACAACAGTGGAACAAGAACAAGATGGCACTGTAAGAACTACCCATACTGATCCAAAAACAAGACATTTTTGGGGAATAGACAGATCTGTCACTGTTGATAAGTTAGTGAGACCTTTCAAGGGTGACAAGTGTCACGAGAGTCTGGCAGCAATACCCAAAATATTTATCATACAGGTAAAGCCAGTGTATCCCTACATCTGACTTTGTATAGGAATCACGAGGAATATTTGTTTATAAGACACGACATTAATTTAATAATTATATTTGTAAAATACTAAATTAATGTGACTTTAGATAACTGAATAATCTATTTCCACTTTCCTTAAAGCAATCTTAAATTTATGTCCAGTGTTTTGATTAAGGTACTCCCATTAACAGCTGCAAAAATATGAGAAGTAAAATGCAGTTTCATTTTACTTTTAAGATATGGTTCAAGGGTTTGCTTCATGCCGTCAGAATGGCCTGAACGGAACATATTCTTCAGAAAACATGCCCAACTAACGATATCTTTATCCAAATACACAAATTAAAAGCTCATTTTGTAAATTTTTGGCTTTAAAAAACGTCCTATTTGCTCGGCCTGGGAGTTAATGAGCTACGTGGTCACGTGGTCCAATGACGACAATCGAGCCACTGGAGAACAGAGCGTGCTTAGCTGTCAAACTGAGCTGCATTGTCTACCTGTAAGATGACTTCTCTGGCTTCTGATAAAAGTTTATACTCATTCAAATCTCTTACCCGAGGGGTCTAAATCCTCGTGAAGCTGNCACGTTTTCTTCCACGGAAGCTTCAAGATACCCTGAGAGCAATTTCTTTTATTAATGTTCGCGACCGTGTTTGAACTTAATTGTTTAAGTATTGATATTTAACGTCATTTACAAATACCAATAAAATAACCCCATGAAATAAATGAGATATATTGAAAAATATGAAAGCCCACCAAGACGAGTTTCATACCTGTTATTACCTGGCTTGGGAATTGCAGCGGTGCATAATTAACAGGTTTGTTGTAAACGAGCTTTTGGTCAACTACAATGCATTTAAAATGCATCAGCAATCAGTAAGTTTGCCAACTGATGACAGTTAATCTGAAAGACTACCAGCTCTTGATATGATCTAAACCACCTGAGGTGACCATGATCTAGAGCATCGCAACTATTGTCACCGAAGTTAGTAAGTAAGTCACGGAAGACCGTCACAGACAAAGAAAGATTGTCAACGAGAGCTGCAATTTTGGTGAATCCCACGGCAACACACCGAGGCATAACGAAAATTCCTCAACTCCGTTCAACACAACTTTCCTTAACTTCTCCGTCTGTATGCACCTGCAGCTCAGTTGAGTCTCATAGACCTTTATCGTGATTGTCGTCACAGTACCACGTGACCCAGATCTGTTGCTTCATTTTTGCATATTGAGGTGAGGTTTACTAAAACGCTTTTTTTTCTACTAATAGATTGTTTTTATAATTTTTAAATGGCGGGGATCGATTAAAACATACCTCTAGTGTATAGATTGAGTGCTGTATCTTCAAAATTCGAGAAATGGATTTTTACATGAACATTGTCCTTTCATTATATGAATCAGCACATGCAGAATTTGTAAAGTACATTTTAAAATTTTTCTAACTGCATCTAATTTACTTGTATGAAATCTAGAAAACAGATTTATAGATCTCAATTTTCTAATTGAACATAAATAAAATATACAATATGTTGTGATGAAATGATAATCATCCAGGAATTATTTTTATTTATATATTTTAATTATTTATTTATTTTTTGTTATACAGAGATGTTACAGTCATATTTTGTTGGCACTTAAAAATTTTACAAATAAATTATTTCATTAAAGCAGCATTCTACACATTCTAATATTTTCACAGGCAGATGAGGAAATTATCTTGCCTATCATAGAAAAAGCTAGAAGATTATACGTGGAAAAAGGTCCAAGACTTGCGACAAAGCCTCAGCCATATCTTATTCCAGCAGAGGCCAATATATTGGTTGTGCACTCAGTCATTCCAAGTAGGTGTACATTTTACCACTGTTTTTCTATTGAATTCCTGAATTGGTACCCAGACCATTGAAATTCAAGAATAAATTTACCATTGATGCCCCCACCCTTCTGTCAACTATTATTTGTTCCTACCACTCTGGAGCTGTGGGTTTCAGCTGGGACAGTGACCTGTTAGTACGTGTGTTCCTCTAATGCATTTAATGGTACTTTGCCAAAATTGATACCGGAACACCTCAGATGTAAGGTCTACTGATAATGGAATTTTTGTTCAAAATTCTTTTTAAAGCGATCACTAAAATTATTCAGTGTCTTACAGGGCACAAATTTTATTTATCCAAGTCAACTTTGGCTCAGAGACTAGGATAAATAAAATAATGTAAAAATATCAAAATCATACATTTTTTTTTTTTTTTCATTTTCAGGTGACTGGTCTTGGTCATGGGAAGGAGCAAGCAATGAGGACTACTGCTTTGTAGAGGGCAGCACTACAGAAAATAAACTCCAAAAAGATCAGAAGAAACAGTTATCTTGTTTTGTTCATCACCTGTGCAAAGTATTGAGTGAAGCTGGACGTGAAGCCGACCTTCAGTCTATGTTGACACAGGTTCGTGGTAGAGTTGAGAAGGATGTTCTGACATACTTAAGGTTGTGGGAAGGAGGAGAACACGGCTACCTCTACGATATGTGTGACCTTATTCCTTACATTTCATCTAGCTTGCTCAAGGACGTTTATTTTCACAAGACCGAGTGACAGCAGCAGTTTTCTTTGTATAAAATGTATTTCAATGAATTTTATCTTGAAACATTTCAAAATGTGGTCACTAAATTGTACTAGAGGAAATATGATGGTCACAATTGTCTCATATTCTCTGGCAAACAATTATTCTGTACTGCACATGGAAGCTGGTGCTCAGATATGACAAAAAGATGGTTATAAGAAAATATCAAAATCATGTTTAAACTATTTTTAAATATTATTAATATTATAATTAGTTATAATTCAAATTCCATGGTACATATTAATTTAATATCAATGTGTCTAAAATTTAAATCACTGATGGAGACAATATCCTGTTATAACATATACTACTTAATTTCTCTAACTGTTACAATTCTTTTGTTTTAATAAGCCAACAGAAAACTAAACATGATTTGCAGCACACCATATGATTATGAATAAAAATTAACAAATATATAATGATTTGTGGAAGTTTGCTACTTGATCTTGGAGCTAATTAGACGTGAACGTCCTGTTCATCAGTCTGCCTTCTGTTTATGTTGAACTGGCGGTACTCTCTGTTGAACCACCTGAGCCAGTCCCAGCAATCCTAGCATTATCACAATGAAGTATGGAATTCTATAGATGGACTCCACAGCATACATTAGCATGATCACTGTAAGCAAGTGCATCACAGAGGAAACCCACTTGTATATGGATCTAAAATGGGAATAAAGTATACGGTCTGAGACTTGCTTTAGATTGGCATGATGGTCACTCCAACAGATCAATCTTGACTCAATCTTACCTAATTTCAATTATTAATTTAGCGTTATGCTAAGTGTAGTCTAATTTGGCTTTGGTAATGTAAACTGCTTGACTGTTTTTTTTTTTTTTTTTTTAAATCAATCTAGTGACTGTCATGAAATTTTAGAATTTTAAAATTAATCTAGCTTCTAATATATATTTCATTCTTGAGTGAGCCCAGCTGCTGAGACAAATTTTTTCAGAAAGGAAACAAATTTCTGTTTTGGCACAATTTAACAATCTGGAAGAAAAACCCTTACCTATTCAAAGAAGTGTGATTCCCTAAATCTATCATAAACATCACCCCAGTAGCAGCAAGTGCTGTGAGACTAGAAGGATCATGCATCAACTTGTTGGTATATCTGAGGTAGATAATAAGGGTAAAACGAGATTACCTATGGTAAACTGTCAAATTTAAGTCTACTTTGGTACCAATTTTATCAAATCAGTTAAACTTATGGCACTTGTATTAAAATAATTTTTCAAAATTATATTTGGTTGTAACTCTTTGCAATAATGATCTCTGAGCAAATTTAATCTAATAGTATGACACATTTTCATTGCTTGTTAATTAGTTCAAATGGTAACACAGTATTACATTCATTTAACTTGATTGTGAAACGTACTCACCGCAAATTTTTTACCCAAACTATAAATGCTGGAGAATTTAAAATATACAGAACCATCCAGACTAGCAGAAGACTAAAATGGAGATTGTACTGTCTTGTGGCACCTTCTCGATCATCTGACACGCGGCTCTCAATGGAATAGTAAAGCACCTGAGAAAATTTAAAACGGTTCTAAAGCACTTCAGGAATTTAAAAGCAATTTTCTGTTATCCAAATATGAAAATGGATGTGCACACAGCAGATGAGTTCTTCTAATACCATAATTGTTATTATTATTATTTAATCGAACATTCTGCCATAATATCCATTTTCTGACATTGGTTTCTCCTTGTTTCACTACATACCAAATAGGTTTTTGCTTATCAATAAATAATATTGAAATACTAAACAATTTAACAGCACTTTCATTACTCTTCATTATTATTTTATTAATAATTTATCAATCTAAAATGTTTCATGTAAAAATAATTTACCTTAATAAGAGCAATCATATACAGTATCTGAAGACCCAAAGCACCACAATGGAAGTAAGCGGCATAGGCAGCACCCAACAGTGCAGGGTACTTTAGGAAGCTCAAATATATAACTGGTCTAAAAATCCTGTAAAATAAAACAATTCCATGAATGCAAAATGTTTTGCTGGGGGAATGTCAATTCAAAACTTATTCCCATATTTAATATTAAAATGACCCATGCTTAAGTAGACACCTCTGCTTTAATAGAGCCCCCATAATATTCTTAAAAATCATAAATAGAAGCCCCAATACTGTTTAAAAATAATCCCCCTGCTTTGATAATAACTCCCATGTGACAAGATAATAATGTCATAATATCAGACTGACACTGAAATAAGTTTTGCATGTTTTGTATTGCTAAAAAAATTGAAGCCCTTATATGAATAGAGGACCTAATTTTAATAGAGAACTCCCTTCCAAATTTTTGAACTTTAAAAGAGTCCAGGTATGCCATTTTGTGAAATATGGTGAATGTGAATGCTACTTAGTAAGAGGAGTTGACGACATTGCCATTTAAAAATTCATACAATTATAATACCATTATATTATCATTATTAGTTGAAGTATTAACAGTAATATGAACAATAACATAATTATATATATATATATATGCACACCTTAGTAGGAGTTCTGCTATCCTGCCTATGACAGCAATGGTGGCTGTGATGACCCAGACATTGACCACCACAATGGCCGTCGCAAGGAGATACAGAACAGGTCCATGGAGAGTGTGCCAGGAGATGTCCTTCTGGTCAAGTGATATATGGTCATTGTCAGGGATACCCAGGCCAACCAGCTGCTCATACACTGATGTAATTCTGTAATGTTTTTAAATAGACATTAAAACTGCACTTTAGGCTGTTACCATAGAATTGTCTGTATTATTCTTTACATCAAGTGACATTAGTTTCTATAATCCTGACCGTTTTGAGATATCTATCAAATGGTTTTAGGCTTCATATAAGGAACAGTAATACAAGATTTTAAACTGTGTTTTACATTTTTTTTCAAGTTAAGAAAGTCATACTAGCAATTTTTTTTTATTCCAACTTGTAGTATAGTACTACTTTAATTATTATACCTTATTTTTAAAAAGTTTACTCTGTAGAGAGCAACAAATTTCGTGTCCCTGTGAAATTAATCATTCTTTAATAAAAAAAATTTTAATAAATAAAATATCAATTATTCCAAAAATCTTAATAAATAATTAAAATAAATCGGCAAACAACCTAGCTATTCTGGCCAGTATGCCTGCTATAAGCACTACTCTCCATGACTGTCCATATGTTCCCAATGCATACAGGAATGTAGGGCAATCTCCATCTAAAAATATATTGAAAAAATACTTTCAATGGATATATTAATTGGTGGACCTCCCAAAAAAGGAAAAAAATTATGTGCATTTTTGGGCTTCTCGATACAAAAGTATGAAACTTGAACAAACTGTCAGAGCAGGATGAAATAAATTTTAAAAAAATTAGGAATTAATAAAACAGAAATATTCATCAAATGGCTTGAGCAATATACATCATCTCATCATTCTTACAAAGCCCTGAATAAGTGCTATCAGTAGATCCTTTTCTAATAAAGAGCATGGCACTTTCACCAAGGCTGATTTTGTTTGCAAATTTCATCAATTGCTATCAATAATTCACAGGTGTGTTCATTAGGAATTCTTTGTATCACTTGCACTGGCCACTTAATACAAGGTGCCTATAAACTATGAACACTTACCAGATATCACGAAGTATAACTTACTAAAAAATAATTTTAATATAAATCTTGCAAAGTACAAACTGTGTATCACAAATGGTGTTATTTGTTAATTTCTCAATTAAATAAAAGGTGGTTCAATTTATTTCATTAAAATATACATTTTGCCAATTTGTGCAAACTTTTGGAACACCCCATAGCTTTACAATGCAAGCAACTGGCTGGTCAATATCCCACAGCTATTTACTGAGGCAGAAGTGCTGAAATATCATTGACCAAGGTGTCACTTCATCCAGGGGCAACATGCTGTGAATATACAACTTAAGGTAAATTCCTTGTGAAATTTAGAGATTAGATAGAAATTAAGAGATTATTTGCAGATTTGGAAATTACAGTAGGCGCCGATTACCTGTCAATTTGACTGTAACTTAAATTATCATTTAACTCCTAATTTTGTAGAATGGGTTTTTTTAGCTTAAATGTCCTGTTTAAATATCCAAGGATCTAATAATACAGCCAGGCAGGTAAACTACAATTGGTTATTAACTGGCAAAGAATGATAAAATAGTGTCTATATAATATAAAACTTTAATGCAGGAAATTTATGATGAATTTAAAAAATCAAAATGAATTATTCGGAAAAACACACAATTTCTACCTGGTTTACCAAGGCACTTGAGTTGATATAGCAAGGCCATCAAAATATTTGCCACAATGTATGATGGGAGGAGCAGGGCATAGAAACGCACATACTGAAAATAAAAGAACTTGTTTTAAAATTGGATATTTGATACACTAGGCTGAAAGGAATAAATGTTGATGTTACAGGTAAGATATCAACATTACCCAGCAAACTGAAAATGTCCTGTGGAGCACCTTCTCATATAATCACTTCTAATTAGTTATCTTTTTGACAGACTGTCCAAGGAAGTGTACTGGCTTACAAAATAGATTTTATTAGTTATTACACAGGGAATATCTATACCCAAACAACAATGCAAACAAATTTTTCTAAAGAGATGTATTTTCTTTGTTCACAGAAATAGCAATGTGTTCAACTAACCAATTGCAAATTGCTTATAATCAGTAGCACTATCAATAAAAATCTGAAATCAAAATTGCCAAAATTACTTGATCCTAAACATTGTATAAAAAGTTCCGTTTTAACGTCATTCAATTCTAAAATCCATTTTGTCAGCATCAATATAGACAGCACAACAATACAGCTATTGAGTTTGTTTTTAAAAAAATCAAATATGACTGTCAGCAGTCAGTTACTAATCAAACAGGCCTTATAATTAATGTTTACAATACGATCAATGATAGAATGATACACTATATCTGAAACTCGTAGGTCGCTTGTGAAGACACTGTATTGACATTGCGATAAGCGTCAGTGCAAAATAAATTCAGCGTTAGTTGGACCAACAGACATCACAGGCAGGAAGGAGAGAGAGCTGATTTGAGCTTGTGTCTATGATGTGCGCAGCATGTGAGTTGCCAACCACTTATATTTAACAACAAAACTGAATCTGATAATTTGTTTTCATTTGAAACCACCATATTTGCTCAGTAGTAGGCATTTTGTATTTGCACTTGTCTGTGGTAGCCACTTTTCTGTGCACTGACGTGAAAATGCATTATCCAGGCAGCAGAGATTTGTTTGATTTTGTCTACAGTTACGGCTTTTATAATATTGAATGTACAACCAGCATCAGCCGAGGCTAACAAAATACTGCATTAATTTTACTCCCTGGGTACCGTATAGCACTGATTACTTAAAGGTAATTTAAGCCAAACGGTTAGATACAACAAACAG